GCTGCGGCCTAAGTTTTCAACGCGAAAACCTCTACGTTGGACGTTCAGCGCCGCCTTTCTGGAAGCCTAGAAGTTTGACAATGGCATTTGGAACGTCGAACATGATCCCACGACGTGCCAAATGCCATTGTCAAACTTCTAGGCTTCCAGGAAGGCGGCGCTGAACGTCCAACGTAGAGGTTTTCGCGTTGAAAACTTCGGCCGCAGCGTCTCTAATAATTAATTCGTTTGTTTGTTTTTTTTTACTAATAGACTGCGACACAAAGCTTTAAAAAGAATACACTTTTAACACTTGTTCCAATAGATAGTCCGCGATCTACCGGTTGAGAATCTAATTTCTTGTAATGTCTTATATCTTTCAGTATATTAAAAAAAAAGGGGGTGATTAATTGAAACGGAAAACACCGCACTAGATTAAAAGGATTTTTATTCCTCGACGTTTCTCTAAAATGCCATTAATATGAAAAATTGTCACCATCCACCCGTTCATTGGTATTTTCCTTTCAATTTCCGTCCTTCGTAGGATTTGATTGGAAACAAAACACAATTACCAACACACGAGAATATTATAGAAAGGAGGAAAAAATTACTCCTCTTTCAATTAAAGAATTGCACACTTATTCACATTCAAATTAAGATAAATACATTTGTAATTTGATTACGTAAAAACCCGTAACTAATTAAACAAAGAAAATATAATAATTTTCCTTATCCTAGGAAATTTATTTAGTAGTTTAATAATATATATTATAAGCTTCCAGGATTTAAAAGATGGCATTAGAAAAATGCTGACGAGCCATATTGTCGTTCGTTTAATGGCCCGGGGGTATTGAAAGATTAACAGAAAGCGTGCACGTGATCGATATTGTATATGCAAATTAATCAATTTATCCCTTTCCGGTTTTGTCAGAAAAATCCCACATATTATCATCCTTTAAGGTATTTTTAACTACCGTTTTCAATTATGTAATGTTACGTTATGCACATAACGTAACATGTATATACATTAATAACATTTTAAGTATAATTTAAATTAATGCACTCATTATTGTTGAACGTAGTTATAATTAGTTTTCAATGTAATTCAATAATATGCTCTTAACAGTTAAGCTGCGGTGCGTAATTATCTGTAACAGTTTTTAGTAATATACAGCGTAAGTTTGACTGTTAAGGCGAAACTACTTAATGAATTTTCAAGAAACTTCCGATATATATTATTGAAGCCACAGGAAAAAATTTTAGTCCCAAAGTTTCCACAGGGGGAAATTCGGCGCTTTAAACAGAAATGGCTAACATCTTCGTTGTTCAGTAAATTACAAAGTAACACATTCGATGTTTTCCGCTTCCATTTTCTAATACCATTTGAAACCACATGATAGCGTGTTCGATCGTTGATCGCCAAGATTCTCGTGAAATGTCAAGGACATGGCGCGGCATGCTTCGTTTTAGATCCACATATTTTTTACGTCTTGCCGATAGATATCACCCTTTAAATGCTCCGTAACCGAAAATCGATGGGTTAAGATGGTGTGAACGAGCTGTCCAACTTATGGAGAAGCGATAGATTACAATTTGGTCTTCAAAAAACGTTTTTCTTATTTAAGCAGTTAATAAAGAATCGGCTTTGCAGTGTTTGGAGGAGCACAATCCTAAATTACGTAATTAATTAGTAGCAATGTACTGTACAGTACATCGGTTGCCAATAACAGAGTCTATGGCTCAGTTTTTCAAAACAGTACGTGCAGAAATGAACGAAAACATGAAATCATACCAAATAGGAATGCAACGGCTTTTCTAGCCCATATTCTGCAATTTTGTGTTGATAGCATCATTCAGGAAATTAGCTTCATTTGTCATAAGATGTCTATAGCCATCACTCATCACAGTCCGAGTTAGAGATCGTCCTTAATTTACGTAATATTATACTTTTCACCTCCCGTAACGCCCCGTACGCTGTCAAACACTCCAAATTACATAACGCATGTCTAAATCAATTGCTTTAATCGTATTAAGAAAGCAAGGAATATCTCTTCTCTCGAACATTACATTATTTTATTAATTACGTGAATAATGTAATTACAAAGCAGTGACGTAAATAGTAGGGTTCGTTATGCAACAATCCAAAAACGAATATGAATCATTATTTTACCCAAAGATTGAGACTCTAGCATTGGGTAACGCTTTTGTAACGCATCGTAACGATTATCTGCGTTACGTAATTTATGGACAACCGTAAAGAATTGCAATGCAAATGTCTGGTATCCGGATCAGAAGGCAGTAGTTGAGACATCTTGTAACATGTTTTACACAATTTTGTCAACTGTTGAGAACGGTTTATCTAACGATCTTGCAATACGATCAACACTACTCGTTCCGTGCACACGTGACACACTGTCCTCAACCAGTCATGCTGCTATATCCTCTATCAGCTGCACGTGAACAGACTTTCGATTCTCCAGGATTAACGTTCAATAACCAGTTTCCCCGAATTTTAAAATCACTTTTCGCAATACAGTTGCAGAAATCAGACCTTTCCGTATTCCCTTGGAGATCTAAACCGCCTTAATGCAACAACAGCGGAATTATGTTCTAAAAGAATTTAACAGCAGCGCATTCTAAACGTTTGCTTTCAGAAACACCATTCCAAGTTAGGCCGGTCGCATTTTTACAGGGATTCTATGACGACGATGTGACATAGTACTATAATGTTTTTAGGTTTCATCCGCGTTTCAAGCGCCGGTTTTCCCCGAGTGACAACTTTTGAAATTAATTTTTTCCCATAAACTCGCTTCCGATTATTAAAAAACACATTGAAAATTTCTCGAAAGTCCAATTAGTAGTTACGAAATTTAACCAACTGTGTCCAGCCGTAACGCAGTCAAGTGTCTTAAGTTACGGAGCATAATTAGTTACGATGTGTAACAGTGTTATAGGAATATTTGTTTGCAGGTCTTACGTTACGGGACAAAGGAAGTTTAATTATCTTAAAATGCACAATTAGCTACCAGGTGTAACCATGTTGTAACTTCATAGTTATGTTGGATTATTAAAAATTGAGATTATGTTTCATTTAAGAAGAGCGACGTTACTTCAATTATTTGAAAACAATCCAATTATATGTAATACTATCATTATAACTACGTTCAATGTTAGTTATATAAATTCAGGAGATCTTTCAATGAAAATTAGATATAATTTATTATTGAAAGCTACTCAGATTAAACAGATATAGAAAAATCCAAGTAATATGATAAAAGTAAGTTTATTTATACTCTGTAGCCTATATATATAGCATTATTCAATAGTTGAAAGCTTAATCTTGTTGCTTCCAGATATTAGATGGGAAATTAACTTTTCTCCTTTCATTGAAAAATTCTTTAACAGATGCTTCAGACATCATTTATTCAATTTTCTATGAATTTCCAGAAATTAGAGTACTTCCAATTAACAAACTTTAAGCCACCATGTTGAATTTTATATGATTTAATTATTAAGAACTGTTTAATTTATATTTGTAAATTAATTTTATGAAAAAATAAATAAAAAAAAAAACAGAAAGAAAAGGAAAAAAATAACTTCATTGAAATTGGAAAAAGGATCTCTAATAGTTAATTGAGCCCGTTTCGGATTACTCGTAACTTAGCGACGGTTATACGTCATCTGATTGTCGTCATAGAAACAGACAACAGATATCAACACCAAAAATAGAAAGCAGGAAACATTAGAATATTCTTTTAAAATTATTATTATTGAAATTATCGGAGCAAAACAATTTTTAACTTTTATTGATATTTATTAAAAATATCAAAATTAAAAAAGAACTAAATTTACCAAGAGAATTTTTCTTAAACTTATCCCCAGAATACTATTTCTTTTAAGCTTAATCATCATGGAGTTTTTAATTACTTTAAAATCGCTAATTTAATTAATAAAAAGCGCAGCTGAACATTTTTTTACACAATTAACTTAATAAATATTTGTAATTTTCCAATTAAAACAGGCTTTTTAAACCTACTTAAGATGTATAATTATTGATAAAATAAGCTATTTTAATTATTTTTAGTTTCTAAGTCGTTCATTTAACAGATAATTATTCATTTAAGGCATTTTTTATGCACTCGATTCCAATTTATAAGTGAGACAGATTTTACTAAAGACTGTGTCTTGCTCCACTTTTTATGTTTCTCTCTCTTTACAGCTTGGTAAATCAACAGGAAAACAGTATTTTTAATATAAAAAAAGCATTTTTCAAGATCTTCTTCACTGTTGGATCCAATATCTTTGCTACCAAAAGTATATTTATTTAAGTGGATAAGAAAGAAGCTTTCTCTACTATAAACAACTTTCAAGACAACATTTACAGAGATATCAGATAACATCTTTCCCCTATTAATGTGGATAGTGTATTAAAACTAAGTTCTCTTTAAAGTTCAAATATATTATATTTTGCACTAAAACAATATATCAATATCAATAATGGTACAAAATTTAAACAAAAGAAAATAAATTATTTTGTAGATAAATTTTAATATTTAAAAAAAAATAGTTTTATGTATAAAAATATTTTCTTTATATTCTTTATATCAAAATTGTAGATGATTAAAACAGAATAGATAATTAATTATAATTTAAAACATGTTTTCAACCACATTTATCTGTTATTTTCAGGTACAAAATATAGATCAAAACATAAAATGAGTAATTACAAAATATAATGACCCCTGTGTAATTTTAAAATCAAATTTACATGTATGACATTCTACTTCATAACTCCCTAATTTAGTTTTTCATACATATTTTAAAACTAGAGAAGATTGATAAATAAAACTGACAGCATTTTTAAAATTATAACTATGCATGCTTTAAATTATTTTTATAGTTTGTCAGTAAATTATGAGATGTGGAAAATTTCTCAATAAAATTGGATGTAATATGATAAAAATTTTAAATTATTTTTGCAGCATAACAAAATATATTGCAAAAGACACCAATTTCTCCCTGTAAAATATATTTAATTCTCATTTTTTTTCTCCATATAAAAACATATATTTTTATAATTAAACACAAAATCAGTTACAAAGTCATATGTCATATCAAAATGAGAGACAATTAAATTAATGACATTTTTATATATTTATAACATAAGAAAATCACTACACACCTAATTTATTGTAACTATAACATCACAAAATTATGAAAATAAAAATTTGTTAGATATATTTTTTGGTTTATGAATGTCTAAATCCACTTGTATGAAAATGCTTTATTTATGTTATAATCTTCAAATTTAACTATAACATCAGCAAAACTGATAAATAAATACAAAATAAAAATATGTTTAACTGTTTTAACTTTGTAGAACTGATGATGAAATCTTGCTGAATCCAAATATGCTGAGAGTAATGAATTTTTAAAAAAATTCTCCAATATCCGACAGAAAAATTTAGACAAATACTATAAAAATGAAAAATGAAATCCAATTTGTCCTATTTTGATATCTGTAATTAAAAAGAATTAATTAATATACTAATTATTCAATTATAAAACATATTTAGATTTTAAAAATTATTAATTAGTATTTTCAAGAAAAAACTTGCTTTACTAAAGCTAATTTTTTGCTTGAATTTTGTTAAATATCAAAGATAAAATTAATTAAGAAGTTATCCAAGTAAAGAAAAATACAGTGGAACCTCGGTATATGACCTTAATCCGTTCCTGGTGTTTGGACTTATACCGAATAGGACGTATACCAAACCAACCTTTTCCATAAGAAGTAATGTAAAAATGATTAATCCGTTCTCATGTAAAAAAATGGCTGGCTTTAAACATCTCGCTTTCCTGGCTAGCTTCTGCTTGATTTTTCATGAGATCAGCATGTATCCTTTCAACTTTCTTGCAAATAATTTTTTCCGATACGCTGTTGCCGGCACACTGTTTTTCAGTTATCCAAAGCAAAAGCAATTTCTCGACATGATCTAATGTCTTCGATCTCTGTTTAGAAATTGATTTAACCCCTTTCGTAACGTTAGCAAATTTAATAATGTCTTTATTTTTCATGATTGTCGATATCGTTCTCGGAATACGGAATGCAACAGTTAAATCTCGAACACGCGTGCCACTTTCATATTTCTCAACAGTCTCTTTTTTCAGATCCGTTGTGATTCTAGTCACTTTTTATTTTTCTGTTGCCCTGTTGCAATTCATGATTAATAAAAATAATAAATTACTTACAAATTAAAATCAAAAGAAATTTAACAAAGTTATAAACTGTAGCACCGCGAATGTCTAGTCTGGTGTATTACACCGATAGAGCTACTTGTTCATAGATGGCACGTATAATTGAATTAAGTCGTATACCGAACAGAAGTCGTATACCGAGCAAAATTTGTTTCGTCCAAACAGGACGTATTCCGAATTGGACGTATTCTAAAGCAGACGTATACGGAGGCTCCACTGTACTTTAATACTATAATATAATTTTATTATACTATTTATATATTTCAATTTTTATGTTTTGAATAAGAAACAAAATATTTACATTCATAATTATTATTATTTCTTCATTAATTCAACTTACAATGTCAAAGTTTCTTATTCAATTAAGATTAAAGAAAAATCAGATAATTGTTAATGCAAATATATATTTTTTAGAAGATATTTTCCTTAGATGAAAGACAAGTTGTCCAAAATTCATATATATATTATCTATAAGAAGGTTGTAAATTGAAACAAACTTATAACTTAGTTGAATTGGAAACTATTAGAGAAGAAACTTTATATAAACATTTTCATAAGATTAATGTAATAAAAATAGTTTCTCTATATAATTTCATAATGGAATTTGTGAAAAAGCTTAAATAAATAGTAAAGTTAATTGGAATAATGTGGATTCAAAACAGGAGAGCAAACTATATAAATGAAAGTTTGTTTTATTGTTTTTACATATTATGAAATCATAAATTATTATATATATATTTCCTCTTCTATTCTCCCTTTATAAGAGAAGATTCTCTCTTTAATAAAATATAATTTGGTTTAATAAAAAAAATTACTATTATTTCATGATTCTATTGTAAATATTGTATTTAAATTTTCTAAAATAATAAAAATACATAATTATTACAACAAAGTACAAAATATATTTGAAAAATATTTATAACACCACTACTGAAATTTTATGCATTCAAATTAAATATTTGTTTATCATACTCATTTTAAACTTCATATCGTGTGTAAAATGAGAATTTTTTTATATTTCATTAATCACTGCAATTTGATTTGCTGAATTAGTCTTCAATTTTATAAGCATTTTATATAAATACATATACATAATGCATAAAACCTAAAATTATGCTCTATAAGTTTTATTTGTTATTGAGACTTGTAATGGATGATCAAATGAAAACTAAAGGGCTGACAATTCTATTAGTCAGATTTAGTAATACCACAAGCTAGCCATGGTATCACTAAGTCCTGCAATGCACTATGACAAATACTTAAATCTTTAAAATTTATTTAAGATTGAAATGTAATAGAGCATCTGTAAATTCAAAGAAAAAATCTGAAGCTTTAAATAAATTAATTAATTAAATATTTACCAAGCCTATTATAATGCCAAAATTTAATTATTTTTGTAGGTATGAGAATGGAATTGTAAAATAATCCACTTCCTATCTTGTAATCACAGTTGTCAATCCAGGAAAAGCAAATGGGCTGATATTTGCTCAAAAGGGCTGACAAATGAAAGTTGCCTTATTCCAGTTAAAGTGAAATGCATTCTGAACCCCCTTTGCTCAACTTGTGCAGAAAGAGGTTAATGGAAAAGAAAGAAGACTTAGATGTTTTGATATCAATGTCTTTTAAGCCCAAGCTGTAAGATATTAATTATGAAGAATGAGATAAAAAGTCTGCAGGAAAAATGTAAAATCAAACAATGCTTTTCTGACCACTCTGAAGCATATTCTTTAATAATCAAAATGTAATGATCACAAGTAATTGCATGGGCATTACAAGTCCCAAATGATTAACTTTTTATGACCATCAATGTAATTCTTGGTGCACTTTTTCGGATTCAAATTCATGAGATTTCAAGTTAGTGAGCTGATTTTTTTTTATGGTTATCGAGGATGACAGTGAAATTTAAAATTTTGGAAAGAAATAATTTTCAAATTCAAATACAAAATTGTTTACAGCTGAAATTTGTCAGCCAATCAAAAGCATAATTTCAATTTCTGAATATTAAATGAGAAGAAGCCAAGGAAATCAGTTAAAAATTATTTAACCATCGATACCAAAATCAAACTTAATAAATTTCATTTATAATCTAAACTTTGAAATTTTAAAGTTCATTAGCATTGAGCCATTAAATTAATTAATTTCATAAATTTTCGTATTAATTCCTGATATCAGTAATGAACATTATAATGCCCTTCTGTTGAGAAATGTCCTGCCAGCTGACAAAACCAATTGGACAATAATGTAGTTTTTAAGTATAATAGAAAGTAGATCTTGTTTAAAACAGAAGAATATTAAAAGAAAGAATGGTTATGGAAATGATTAAAAACACTTGAAAGTGATAAGGGCAAACATTTCTGGAGGATAAGCTACAGGAGGAAAGATGAGCTTTTGCCCAAAAGGCAAGCAAACAGTATGTATGTAATCATTTAAATAAAAATTTTTTTTATAGTACTAATGTTTATAATCTGAATTAATATTAGCTATCATTAGTTAGCTAAATTAGCTAATTAATGCTAATTTTAATTAGCATTAATTAAATGCTAATTAATGCTAATTTTAATTAGCATTAAATAGCTAAATTAAAATTTAAAAATTTTTTAAAACCAAACAGTAGCTAAATTTCTCATAAAAACATCTGCTAATATTTGCTTAATTCAGATGAATTCCTCTAAATTAAATTCATCTGAATTTTACTAAAAAGTTTTATTATATATGAGAAGGATAATTAGATGATGATGATGATGATGATGATGATGATAAATCATATTTTATTAAAAAATCCTACTTTTTTGAGATATAAAAACTTAAAGTCAATTTTATTAAGTTTAAAAGCAATTTTCATATAGAACAATCTCTCAGAAATGTTTCTAAAAAATAAATCGCACAATCTACTGATCTTTCAGGTGAGAAATTTTTTAAGTAACTTTTGTAATTAACTCTATAGGGGGAAATTTGCACATAATATCTTGCATTAATTTGTATCTGCAGAATGTTGTTACTGTAATAAGTACACCTGATTTCAGTGTTTACAAAGACAAACAATAATTTAAATACTGTACAGTATTTACAGTATTTGCAGATAAGACGATCTTGCATATAGGACAAGGTGCGACTTTAAAGATGAAAATAAAGAAAATTAAATTTATTAATACAATTCTAATTTTATTTCATTTAATCACAAATAAAATATCAAATGCACACATTGTCCCACAAAAATTACTGGCATTTTAAACTTTAAGGAAAAATCTTTTCCTTAAAGTTTAAAATCGACAATGTAAATTGTTCATGTAAAGCTGGACAATCGGGAACCTTTTTTGCCAATTCTTAAGTCAAATCCACACTTACGAGTTTCTCCGAATTCTGATTTCTGAATAATCATCTGTTTTCACTGGAACAGATTAAAACTTATATCAGGCTCCCGTGTGATTTCAGAATTTCAATTTGGAATTCAATTCAAAAGCTTTGCTTTTCCTATTGCTATTCATCTTTACTCCTGACAATACACAAGAACAATTTGAACGACCTAGATAAAATAGTTTTGTTTTTAAACACCAAAGAATTTAAAAACAAAGTTAACCTTATAGATTGATCATTAAATAAATCTATAAGGTTAACATAAAATTGAAAAATTTGTTTTTAAAATTATTCAGATATTAATATAACTTTCCATTAAGTAGTAATTGTCATAAACACATCTGGTAAAAAATGTGAATACATGGTTCTCAAAAATTATTGCAAAAAAACAAAAAATCCTTTGCTTGTATGTATAGGATGACCTAGGTTTTTGAAGCAGTGAAAAATGAATAAAAACCTCATCTTATACTTGAGTAAATATGGTAATAAGTAAAGATTCAATTTACACATTTAATAAATATAAATAAAGTCAACAGAATAATAATTTAGATACAAAAGAGTATATTCACATTAATCTAAAATATAATGTAAATATAGATCTATGTTAAAATACCAAAATAACTTGTATGAAGTAGCCCAAAAACCTACCGAAGTTGAATGCTTTATTACAAGTGTACTCAACTTAAATAATGTCTGTATCAAGAAAAATATATGAAAGGTAAATAATTGGTCTCATAATCTCCAGATCTGAATTATTTAAATTCTTTTCATGGAGATATCTTGAGGAAAAAGTGTACCAAACCAATCATAAGACTTTTGAAGAGTTTGAGATCTCTTAGATGAGAAATCTTTGCTCTTCTGAGAAAAGATCTCTTTAAAGTGTGATGTCAAATTTTGAAATGAGATTGAGGAAAAACACATTGAATATATAGTAATATAAATGATTTCAAATGCTAACTAATGATATTTAATTAAGATTTGTAAATTAGATATTCAGTTGTAAAAAAACATTAGACTTGATAAATAGGTTTTCAGCTACCCAATACAAATCATTAAAATTTAAGTTTTTAAATGTACATTTTGATTTCATACACACTTTATAAGCAGTGATTACTATTCCATTTCTGTAGTCTATTTTGGTATTTTTTGAGCATAAATTATTTTTTAATAATGAGAACATTTTACTTATAAAAATGCACCTACAAATTTAAGTTTCAACTTACAACTGTTTAATTTATGAAAGTCTCTGGAAACCAACAGGTGTGATCATAATGTCTTCTAACATTCACCAGTTGGCATGATAGGACTATCAGCGCATGCATTGAAAATAATAGAAAATATAGTTAGTTATTTATGTACTGTATATATATATATAAAATCAATCATAAGAAAAGAATAGAAAGAAAAATTATATCACTAGATAAATCTATAAGATTAACATAAAATTGAAAGATTTGTTTTTAAAATTATTCAGATATAATTTTCCATTAAGTAGTAATTGTCATTAGGGATTGTATACCGGTTTACCGATTTACCGGTTAACCGATAAATTGACAAAAAAACATTCGGTAAACTTACCGGTAAATTTTTGAAATTTACCGGTAATTCGGTAAATGAAAAATTCATACTAGAAATTTTTATGTAGAAAATATTGTGTTTATAGATATTTAAAAGGGCTAAAGGGACATTGAAAAAAAAAACAGATAAGTGTAAGCAACAATATACCTAATTATTAATTTTATGTGAGATATTTTTTGTTTAATTTTAATTTAAACTTTCTTGGGTTTGAGAGGCACTGTAAATTGTACAGAAAGCTCTAGTTAGCATATGTGATTTGTGCTCTGCCGTTTTTTGAGATTTTTAAAGGTTTAAAATCTTTACAATCAACGTTTTTGTTAAAGATTAAGTAAATATTTTTTTTTTTTAATATTTAAAAATAATAATACGTAAATATTTCACGTACTTTTTAAATTAATAGCAATTTTGAATACACCACATTATGACAGGACATTAAAGCAATATTATTGCAAAATAACATTAAAATTTGTACCTTAAATAAATTTTTTACTTCTAACAACTGTTTAAAATAATTAAATACAAATATTTATTACAAGATTCTAACATTATGCCTTACGATTGTGCAAAATATGTATTATTCTAACCTTATTTTCGTGGGGAATCCCCATTACTCTCACGAAAAGAACTTTCTTTAATTTTAGATTGTAGAACCCGGTGGAATAGCTTACTAAACATGCTGGAAAGATTTTTATTACTTAAAGATGATGTCCGAAAAAGTCTAGAAACTTAACCTAACCTGGATTATTTTGTACAAAAATTAGATCAAAATTAGGAGATAAGACTTTAAATAATTTAAGTTTCTTGAGAAGTTATTTTTTAAAAAATGGTAATCAGTAAAATGGTATTAGGTACTATATATTATTTCTGTTTTATTTTTATTTTTCTGTATTATTTTATTTATGTTTCTAAAAGTTATTATTATAGTTTGTTTAGAATAACACTTTAATTTTTATATTTTTTATATTCTATACCTTTGAAATAGAAAATGTGGAAATCAAAATTATTTATATTTTTTATCACCTTAATTTTATTTTTCAGGAAAAAAATTTACCGGTAATTTACCGGTAAACCGGTATTTTAATTTTTATTTACCGAATTCCCGGTAAATAAAAAAGTCGGTAAGTTTACAATCCCTAATTGTCATAGAGTATAAATTATTTATTATATTTATATTATTTTACAACTACTGCTACAAAGATTAATTGTAAAGAAAAGAACTATTGAATAAAACAATAAATGAAATAATAATGCTGTGCCTTAAATTATTACAGATGAATATGATTAATGTAAAAGAGAGAGATAAAAGATGAAACAGAAAACAGAAGCTGAAAATGGATGTAAATGATTGTTGTAATATTCAAATATGCAATACTACATTCAAAATAAAAGACTATTCAAATATCATAAAATGGATGACTATTAAAAGTTATCAATGTGAAAGAAAATTTAAATTATTTAAGAAAATTAATTAATTAAATTTATAGAAATATCCAATATTTTTTAACAAACTTATGTGCACTTCTAAAGAAACTATCCAATTGAAATTAAAGTACATAGTATCTATGATCATGATAATGAAGCTGTCTTCTAAGTAAAGGATTGTATGTAACATGCAACTTTTTTCATCCATCTCTATCTAGTGCAATATTCATTCAAAATCCCATCTAGTCTCTCTGTGTAAAGTCACAATGACATCTCGTTACCTAGCTAAAATGTCATCTGTTCCATGTTTACAGCATGTAGCAAAGTGTTGCATGGTATTCTCACATGGCTGTAAGTGCATGATTGTTTTGTTTGCTTTCTGTACTCTAAATGAACTGATGTTAAAAAGCAAGCAAAAATTTATTTTGTTAAAATCATAGTTTAATGGAAACTGATCAGAACAATGCAAAGTGCTTTTATGCAAAAAGCAATAAGCTGTCTATGCAGAGAGTTTAATGGAAAAAGACACTTTGCATTACTGAAACAAAACAGCACTTTCTGACAACACAGATTCACATATAAATCTGTTTTAACAAATCTGTCAACAATAAAACCTTATGGCTTGAAGAATGAATATGATGATATTGTACACTAATTTTTGCTTAGCATTTGTCACTTAACTACAGAGCAATGAAATGCTACAACTCATTGGAAATACAACTACATGACAACTGGCTATATTCATTTTAATAAAAGAGATTATCAGGAGAACAAGCTAATTTACTTGGAAAAATATGCATTACTGTAAAACATCCTGATATAAATAAATATTAACTGAAAGATTTGTTTTTAAAATTATTCAGATATAATTTTCCATTAAGTAGTAATTGTCATTAGGGATTGTATACCGGTTTACCGATTTACNCAGTTCCCTGGAGGGGGCCGTGCCCACCCAGGCCCCCCTCGCTACGCCCATGCAGCTATTACGGTGTCTCTTGTTGGTAAAAAATTGTTGTAAGTGACCCGGCGGATGACGGGTGGTCTATCAATAGTTCGGCGTTTCTCAAACTGTAGTTGGCGTTAAAAATTTAACGGGCGGTGAATTTATACTACCTTCCGTAGACATACTCGTAGCACTGAAATATTCTGTAAGAACTACGCACTGTACTGTACTGTATATTAGATGTATCCTTTTACTAAAAAAATAAATAAATTAATTAATTAATTTAATTAAATATTTTATTTTTACTTTTTTATTCTATTGAGAACAGATAAATTTACTTGCATAATCTGATCATCTTTCTATTTATACAAGAAAGTCAGACATTTTAAGTGTGTTCAGTAAGTTCTTTTTGATACTTTATAATGCAAGGAATTTTATAAAAAGCCACATTTTCATATATAGACAAATTTGAATTACTGTATCTTATGACATATAATAAGCAACTTTTGTCCAAAAGAAACCAGGATAAAAAAATTGCTTTGCATCTTATATGTGAAGTTTCTGTCTTCCATAGCCTTATGAATTCCCCAATGAAAACTTTAGTAGACTACATGTAACCTATATCTAGCTCATCTCTTGAATAAAAATGTTAGTGTTTAATTAAACATATTTTTATCATTATTATTATTCTTTGCTATAGCTAACAGCTTTGTATGTATTCATGTTGAATATTTTAATGGCAAATTTTAATTGTGAATGACTTCTTTTAAACTTCCTTTTCCCCTTATAAATAAAAGTGTTCATTCTAATTTTACATTCCTTTTAAACCAGAATACAGTAAAAAAACATTTGAGGCATGGAATGGCTTAAACACATTAAGTACTTTTCCTAAATATTCTGTGTCGAAATGGAGGAGATTGTCTTATATGCCATACAAACAATTACTTAGTGACACCAGCACAATGTCAGGCTACAATTTTTAATTGTATTTTAATTTATTTAATTTAGAATATATGCTCTCCACCTGAAATTAGTGGTGTCAGCAGGTTGCTAAACTTGTTTTCTTAAAGCATGCAGCAATCCTTGTAGAGGTCTCACTGGTTTAAGGTTAAATCTACTGCATCTGTTTCAGTTGCTTTTCTTTATGCAACAAGATGGCTGCCTCCATGGTGAAAATGTGCAAAGTTGATTTCTTATATGATGTGACAGTAAAAGTATAAAGTTTTTATCACAATGAATAAATATTGTGTTTCTACTAGTTTTCCTTTTAAAATACTCATTAGTAAAATAAAATAGTTGACAAAAGTTATATATTTAAAATGTTTTATGTTGCATAAAGAAGCTTCATACATTAAATTTAAATCATTAATTTTACCTCCCAAACAAACCTTACATTGCAAAAATGAATTACTTCAAAAATGTTTTTTATTAAATAATTTACAAAACATTCTAACAGCTACACGAAGATCTGCCATTTTGGAACTACAGAATTACAGCACTGTTCTATATGCATTGTTAAAATACCTTCAACAGCAATTGTAGTGAAAGCAGCAGCAGTGCTCCACATGCTGAATTTAACAAGCTGTAATCTAACTCTTTTCGGGTAAAATTTTTGAATTGAAATAATGTGACTTCAGGCTTGTACCAGAAGTTCATGTATAGTTAATCAGACTTTCCATATCTAGTCTCTGCTTTCATCTATCTAACTCCATTCTCAAGATTAAGGAAGGACAGACAGACAGCCAGACAAGTGACAGAGGAAATTTACAGGTCTATGATTTTTTTAAACTGTAGCCTAAAAATATAGTACATCTAACTATAATGCAGTGTACCATCATAACATAGGGAATTGCAATGTTAGACTGTAATGTGCATGATGGACCTGGCTCATATGCTTACAGTCAGACTTGCAATAGTTATAGTCTCAAAAACCATGACACCAAAACTGTGCAGAATCATTATTTACTTCTCTATATATGTGTGTGTGCACACCACATACATATAAACAGGTAGTCTTAGTTAAAAATATGTTAACTGAAAGTTAACTGTTTAATGTAATTCATTAATTGTGGGCAATCTTGTCAGTGAAATGTTCTTTATAGTATGAAAAAGTATTAATCTTTTTTCTAGATAATAAAATTTAAGATTAATCTAAAAAAATAACAAATTTTAAGTTTTGTTTTCTTCACTTCAAAATTCAATACATTAAATTATGAATTATAAATTACAAATTTTGTTAACTCCTGAAATCTGTCATTGGACACTGGTGAGGTTTGAAGAGTGTGTTACAAATTTTCTTAACTTAAGATCAACTGTTTTTAAGATATTTGTCTATTTTAATTTTATTTTATACTCAATTGTTAAATCAACATTTTTTATATAAAATGTATTCCAAAATTCCTCTAAAAGTTAAAAAGTTTTGACAAAATTCTGTTTCATCATTTTTCTAACTTATATGCTACCTATTAATTAAATTTTCAAATTTATTCCAAAAAAAAAAAATAAATAAATAAATATATATANAAGAAATAAAGGCAGCAACAAACAAAAAGATAATTTTTAAAAGGAATCCCACAGTATACCAAATGCTATGCACAGACAAGGAAGACATAGACCAGAGCTTGATTGCAGGAATATATAGAATACCAGTACAAGACAAAAGGCAACAAAAAGAGCTATACTACATTGGAGCCACAGGGAGATCATTAAAAGAAAGACTAAAAGAGCATAAAAGGAATGTGCAGAATGAGCAACCAGTCACTGCACTAGCAACGTATGTTATAGCAGACCCGACAGAAGTCACTGTGGATTGGGAAAGGGCTAAAATAATACAAAAGATCCAGGACAAGAGACACTTGAAATATGCAGAAGCATGGCAGATATATAAAACATACTAGGAAGGATTAGCAATAAATTTTAGAGAGTCCAGTAAAATCTCAGCAACTTGGAGAGCAAGCTTAATTTGAATTATTCTATTATAAAATAAAGGGACGAACAGTGAAAGAAGCAGGAACTATATATAAATATATAAAATAATAAAACAGCAGTTCTATACATATGACTGTTACAATATCAAAGTATCATGTAGAATTTATTAAATCATTCAAATAAAATGATAGAACATTAATTTATATGTAATATCTTTTTGTATACTAAAGAATATTTGAATAAATAAATTTCTCAAGCATCAACACACAAAAGCTTTATAATGCAACCTTTTAATTCAAAATTTACTAACATTTTTGGCCATTTTAAAAGACCTTCGTCAGGAACAGAACAATCGAATGATTCTGATTTCAAAATCAATATTTGTTCTGGAATTTTTTGCTTTTTGAATTTTCTTATATATCTAGTGCACAGGCTCACATATAAATAATTACAAAGTATACTTGTAACAATATACATATAATACATGAATAAATAACTAGCTAAAATAAAATAAAATAAAATAAAAAATAAATATGTAAATAGACAAATGCATAAAACAATTGCTAATATAGAGAAGAACACCATAGTTCCTGCTTCTTTAACTGCTCGTCCCTTTATTTTATAATAGAATAATTCAAATTAAGCTCGCTCTCCAAGCTGCTGAGATTTTACTGGACTCTCTAAAATTTATTGCTAATCCTTCCTAGTATGTTTTATATATCTGCCATGCTTCTGCATATTTCAAGTGCCTCTTGTCTTGGATCTTTTGTATTTTAGCTCTTTTCCAATCCACAGTGACTTCTGTTGGGTCTGCTATAATGTACTGTACATTGCTAGTGCAGTGACTGGTTGTTCCTTCTGCACGTTCCTTTTGTGCTCTTTTAAAGATCTCCCTGTGGCTCTGATGTAGTATAGCTCTTTTTTTCACCTTTTGTCTTGTACTGGTATTCTATATATTCCTGGAATTAAGCTTTGGTTTATGTCTTCCTTGTCTGTGCATAGTATTTGGTATATTGTGGGATTCCTTTTAAAAATTATCTTTTTGTTTGTTGCTGCTTCTATTTCTTTGTAAATATTGCTTAGAAATGCCATGTATTCCATTACAGTGTATACTTTTCCATTCATTATCTTCTTTATCATCTATTCTTGTTTTGTTAATAATGACCTTTATCATATTCTGGTAAATACCGCATTACCCAGCTAGTTCTTTGATATGATCTAATTCTTTAATTCTGTCTCGTGGTTTGCTGCAGTGTGTGTAAGCTCTCTCTATAAGTGCCCAGAGCGCTGCTATTTTATAGCTTGCCGGGTTGCATGAGACAGTGGTTTATATGTGACCTTTCTGTAAACTTTTGTGACAATTTCCCCTCCTTTCTCTACTTCTATTGATAAGTCTAGAAAATGCATACTTTTGTCGTTCTCATGCTCTATTTCGAGCTCTAGGCCAAACTTGTTGGAATTGACATATCTGATAAATTGTTGAATGTCTGGTTTTTCTTTCCATATAATCAAGACATCGTCAACATAGTGTGCATATAATACAATGTGTGCTGCATATTTTGGTAAGATTGCTTTCTCTAAAGTCCTTAGAACCATCTCATATAATGCCCCTGCAATAGGGCTTCCCATTGCCACTCCTCTATGTTGTGTGTATGAAATTCCATTAAAGTTAAAGATCAAAGAATATGTAGCAAGATGTGTTAGTTCCAGTATTTATTTTTTTCATATTTATTGCATTTCCTATCTTGCTCATTAGGAAGTCTCTCAGGTAGCAAAAACATGGCTCTAGTTTGAGTGAGGGGTATAAAGCCTTGAAATTTATTACCATCATAGATGATAAAGAAGGTAATGAGAGGGAAAGAATAAAAAAATACACTGTAATGGAATATACGGCACCTCTAAGCAATATTTACAAAGAAATAGAAGCAGCAACAAACAAAAAGATAATTTTTAAAAGGAATCCCACAGTACAGTAATAACCCAAACTTACGTGATAGGTGGGACCGAGCGATAACCGCGTAAGTTGAATTCGCGTAAGTCGGGGTATAATTTCACAATTTGTGTAAAATCAAAGTCAGATTATATGTAAGCTAATAAATGTTTTCGTTAATCTTATTTCGTCTATTGATTCGTTCACGGTTACAAGAAATCACCACATAGAGTCTCTCAAATCTCTCCATAGATATAACAAACACAGAAATAAATAACGCAAAATAAATTGTAGCTATGTGTTGATTCTGCGCGACATGTCCGAACATGTAAGCTGAACAATAGTATGCGGGGAGTGAGTAATCAAGGGTTGCGTGGCGCTCAAACAAAAGACGAATCGACGAGATTTGAAAATCACGTAACTCCGGGTTCGCGTAAGTCAGGGTAGCGTAAGTCGAGGTATTACTGTATACCAAATGCTATGCACAGACAAGGAAGACATACCCCAAAACTTAATTCCAGGAATATATAGAATACCAGTACAAGACAAAAGGTGAAAAAAAGAGCTATACTACATCAGAGCCACAGGGAGATCTTTAAAAGAGCACAAAAGGAACGTGCAGAAGGAACAACCAGTCACTGCACTAGAAATGTACAGTACATTATAGCAGACCCAACAGAAGTCACTGTAGATTGGAAAAGAGCTAAAATAATACAAAAGATCCAAGACAAGAGGCACTTGAAATATGCAGAAGCATGGCAGATATATAAAACATACTAGGAAGGATTAGCAATAAATTTTAGAGAGTCCAGTAAAATCTCAGCAACTTGGAGAGCAAGCTTAATTTGAATTATTCTATTATAAAATAAAGGGACGAACAGTGAAAGAAGCAGGAACTATGGTGTTCTTCTCTATATTAGCAAAGCTTTTATGTATTTGTCTATCTACGTATTTATTTATTTTTTATTTTATTTTATTTTATTTTAGCTAGTTATTTATTCATGTATTATATTTATTTATATTTTTTGTGTATATTGGTACAATTACAAAGTATATTGGTACAAGTACCAATATACTTTGTAATTATTTATATATGAGCCTGTGCACTAGATATATAAGAAAATTCAAAAAGCAAAAAATTCCAGAACAAATATTGATAAATCAGAATCATTCGATTGTTCTATTCCTGATGAAGGTCTTTCAAAATGGCCAAAAATGTTAGTGAATTTTGAATTAAAAGGCTGCATTATAAAGTTAAGTGAAACAACAGATAATGAAACCAATTTTACCACAGGCTAAATGATATAAAAAAGATATAATTCAGTTATTATTATTCTAACTGGACAATGTTTGCATTTATTTCCCCACTTCATAGAACCAATTTTACTGTTTATAAAGAAAATTTAATAATAATTGTAAATGATTATAAAGTTGTACTTGTATCTTTCCTCAGTAACATTATAATGAAATGATGTTAAACAAAATGACATTAAATAAGGATTTGCTATATCTTTATTGAAATTTTAAATATCAAATGTCAAAGCATTTTAGATAATCAAGTATATTTTCCTTTTAAAGTAGTAGAAATTATATAAAATATCTGAGTAACTGCTTAATAATAAATGAAAAAATTAATAAGCAGTAGCTGTTACTAAAGCTGGAATTAATTAATTAAATATTCATTCTTGGCATCCAAAGAATTTACATCAATATATACACTTAAAACACATATTTATATACTTATTTCAAAAAACACACATTATTCTTTTAAATTATATCTTTTAGAGAATTTAGTTCTCCTTTCATACTTTAACATAATATAAATTTTAGCATTCTGTCTCTACATTCAAGAAAGAAATTACATACATTAAAAGTAATAAATGATTAAATTACCTTAGATTTAAGTTGAAACATTTAAATAATGCAATACTTTGTTATTAAGTTATTTTCATTTTAATTAAAAAATGCAAAAATTTTACTCACCAACATATAGGAGGATTCAAGTCAAGTTCGTCTACCTGCTCTTCCTTCAATCTGCGATAGTAATTTGCTAGAGTTTCATGAATTGTTTCTTTGGAATATTTACACTTAGGTGAGCCACAACCACATGTAAACCACTTGTACTTGATAACCCAAAATTTTTCACCATAATCAAAACTACAATAATATATTTTTTTATAAATGTAGTAAAAAGTTTCATAATGACTTATTCAATCTAAATATAATATAATATACACAAAACCTGTCTAAAGTAGAAATGTAAGACTTCTTGAGAACTAATTGTATAACAGAAGCTAAGCAAAGTGCAATTATTTTGGAAATAGCAGCCAAATTATAAACCATAATTAATTTTACCAGGCTTGGATCATTGTTGGCTTCTTGGTAATGAGAATTACAGTATCAATTTTTTTTTACAGTTGAGATAGTTCCTACTTCGTCTGGACAATATGACAACACTTTTTCCCAAATTCCCCAGAAGTCAAAGAAGCAGAGTCGTATTGTTTAACAGAATAGTGTATTTAAAACAGAAAATTCTAACCAGTATCATCACATTGTATTTTAAACAGGTTTTATTACATTAATTTTTGATTTCTATAAAGCATACAATAATACTTAAATTAGTAAAAAATTTGGCTGAAATTCTGAGATTTTTACCCTAGTTCTTCTAATGGTTTTATGTCTCTTGAACTAAAGAATGCAATTCGAGGAAAACTTAAATCTTGATGATCTACAAATATTTTTACAGGAACCAGATTTGGTTCACACAGATGATTAATGAATCTACTGATATTACCATAATAACGAGCATCTAAACAATATGTTTCTCCATCCTAAAAGTAAAAAAATTGTTTATAAATATATAACACAGTAAATAAAATTTTAAATTAAATAATCTCAGTTAAAATTATTTTACTCTAATTTTGGATTATTTTTTAATTATACAATTAATAATAATAAAAAAAATTTTTTTTGGTTAAATTATGAATTTATTTTGGAGCATTAGCTTATTAAATAAATGTTGCAGATATATTTTATTGACATAAATCTTATAAGTCATGAATAGAAAATTAATTTGATAATATTAATATCAAATATTCAACTTCAATTTTAACATTAAAGTAAAATTAAAAATTGTACCTATAAATGACAAGTCTTTTTCTTTAAATATTAACATTTTCAGAGATTTCTTATTCTCTATCTCCAGATACACATTGTTTTATTGAGAGTTATTTGAATGCTTTATCTTCTGTATGTTGTTGTAGCAACAGTTAAAAATCCATTTTACTAGATTCACATATTTACATCATTTATAACTGTTATCATAACAAAATATAGAAAATCAAATATTCAAATCCTATAACTTCAGATGAATTTTTTCCTTTTGAAGACAGAAATTTAAGAAAAATCTCCAAAAGTATTAATTTTTAAAAAATAAGACTTCTCATATCATCTATATGCACTATTTTTACTTTATCCATATATTATATATATAATATATGGATAAAGTAACATCCTTACTACACCTGATACATTTAAAGCTATACATCAACCAAAGCTGAATATTATCAGGCTAGAAATGGCTATAATACTAATAATTTAATAAACAATTTGGCATTAGAGTTAGGCGCCATCTCTTGATAAATTTAATAATTATAACTTAATTTGATTTAAGTTAAGAAGAAAATTTCAGAATCAATCTAGAAAAATATTCCATTATGTAAGATGCATAATATTTATAACTTTTTTGTTTATATTTTAAAGAATTTGAAATATATGTAGACTGAATGATTAATATGTTATGTTTAGCAAATTTTATGTAACAAGATATTTAAAAAATGTCTCAATAAGTAATAATTGTATTTTTGTAATTCTCTAGAGCTAACCCCCTGTAACAAGATCTTTCTTATTACAATAAAGTATTTGTAATTAATTAATTAAATAATTATAACTTAATTAAATAATTTAAATAATAATTGGTTATATCATTAGGTTATATATGCTGGAAGAGGAGATTGGACTGAAGGTCCAAGTAGCATAATTGGCAACACATTTGCACAGTGAGCAGGGGTTGCGGGTTCAAGTCCTGCTTTAGGCCCATTCTTTTCTTCCAGTAATTCTAAAATTATTATTTAAATTATTTAATTAACTTAATTAAATTATAATTATTAAATTTATCAAGAGATGGCACTTAACGCCTAACTCTAATGCCAAATTGTTTATTAAATTATTAGTATTATAGCCGTTTCTAGCCCAATAATATTTGGCTTTGGTTGGTATATATATGTTACTGTGAATGATATCTGGCAAATGTCAGCATTCACACAGCTGTTTCGTGTATGTACAAAATATTTGCTAAATATCATCATTTCTCACACCGGCAAATGTCGATATTCAGCATGCACTGATGGTGAATGTTGAATAAAAGTATTTTTATTACGTTAAGACAAAAATGCAACTTTTTAATATGTCAAAATAGGAGAAAGCTTAAGTAACATCACATGTAAATAAACTGTTGAACCTAAAACGAACAGTACATTCTAAATCATTAAAGAAAATAATATAATAATAAACTTACACATAAATTATGTGATTAACGTTATACAATCTTATTTATTGCAACAACTTAAACTGTTATGGCACTTTGAATTGCACAAGAGTCCCTTGTTTTACAACTGCATTTATTCATGGAACACTTCTTTTTGCATAGCATTGCCCTCCACTTTTCGTGTATAGCATTGCCCTCCACTTTTCGAATTAGCTGCAGCTGCTTCTCTCAGTGATATTTCTTGAGAAGAAATATCATCTATGGAAAGTAACTTTTCTTTACAAATTACGAACTCATTACGGGTATAAAGCTGCTTGAGGTACCATTTTTTGTTTGTTAATTTATAAAAATCAGAGTCTTCTATTCTAACAACAACCGCCAACACATTTCGGGCATCTGTACGGTCACGGTTGACATCAGGGACTTGTATTCGTACGGTATCACCAATTTGAACAGAAGGAAACGGCGAAGAATTTGGCGATAGACTATCGCCTCTCTGTCGACATCGGCTTCTCGGGTGTCGTTTCAACCTTCACCAAAGCTTATCTGTGTTTGTCGACATACACCGGCGATTGTTCGAATGTATAATAATATAACCAAATATTCGGTCTTACATCAACGTATTTTGTATGTGTCAACATTCACCGGAGAATATCGACATTCTCTAATTTCGGTCTTTCACAGTAACATATATATGCACAATATTTCCAAATCTTTAAATGTAATTCATGTGCAAATACGTTATGTTTTATACATCATTTTGAAACTTATTGGATATAGATGAACTATATTTCATCAATTTTACTGTTTAATTTCATATAAATTAATTAGGAGTGAAAATTTGCTCAAGTAAATACTCCTCTCTGTCATTATGGCATTATTATTTTAAACTCAGACATTTTGAAGTTCATTGTTCTGTGCATTATTTTAAATATTTCTACCAATACAGGAGTGCAATAGATATGTCTAATTGTTTTGTGAATTTTCTTGGGCAATAATAACAGTATGAAATTCTAAGGTATTACATCCTAAGATTACAAAAATGACATTAAAGATTTTTGCAAATCTATCACATTGCTGTAAGAAAAACAATCTTGTGTCATGCATTTGCAATCTTTGAAAAAAATATATTGTAATTATCAAAGATATTGAATAACTATTTTCTATTGCTTCTATGACAGAATTATGAAAAACAATTCTTCTTATTTTTTGAAAAAATGTTATCTGAACATTTGTAACATCTGAATCTAAATAATTAAATACTATCATGTATTCTAGTATAAATAAAAACAACCATCAAATATCATTTTCTGACATGTACTTAGTATTTTGTTTAGTATTTTATATGTATATTTTAAAAATATCATCATTTTTTGATCAATCCTTTATTTTTAATTTGTTACATTTAAATATAAATTTTTATTTATTTATCTATGGATGTGTTACTAACAAAAAGAAATTAATTATTTCTGAAAGTTATTGCCAAATTGTAGAATAATTCTAAAAATTTCACTAGTGAATTTTATTAATAATTACATAAATTACTTATTATATATATGTCAGTGTTTGCTGAAAAATTAAAACTTAAATATTTTAAATTAATCATCTTATAAAATAATCAAGATGGGTTGATAATAATAATAAAGATAATAATAAGCACAAAATCCAAATGGTTGAAAGTTGAAATTTGGTACACAGTTAGAATATGCCTTAAGAATGCACACTAAGATAGGATTTTTGGAAATTCTCCCTGCGGGGAGAGGGTTAAGGATTATCTTGAAGAACTCAGTTTCTACTGTATTATTTTAGATGTGATATTTTGTGTTTTTGTCAGAAATTGAACATATTTTTAGACCCATCTAAAAATTCTCTAATTAGCCTTGGAAGATGGGTGACCTAATTCTTGTACCCAGTGAAAATGGGTAAGATTGGCAATATAACTATAAAGGTTATCTTATGTAAAGGTTTATCACACTGAATGATCAATCTAACACATTTTAAAAATTCTTTATTCCTCTACTGCATATAATTTAAAGAACTTTTAAAATGTGTTAGAATGGATACTCAGTGTGATAAACTGTTATACAAGATAACCTTTGTAAATATAAATCAAATACTATAATATAATATAGTAGAAGGGTTAGAAGTATAAAATAATCTAATAATCTAATAATCTTCAACTTTGCTGTTCTTACATTTTGCCTGAGCAATGCCAGACTTCATCTTAATTAAATAATTTGGAAAAATTATTTTGACCAAATAATTTGTAATGTAGTTACTCATGCATACAATAAGTAACTACAGTGTGTGTGTGTGTGTGTTTCTAAAGTTTCTTAATTTGAACCATTCTAAACTTGCTTAATTTGAACCATTTTTTGCTCTTGATATTTTTTGGAGCAAGTTAACAACAAATTTTATAAAATTTTGATTTGCACTAAATTATAATAAATTAATGATAGTACACTATTCTCATCAAGTATTAAATTAGTGGTAATATATAAAACTGTCATTAAACGTGTTTTGTTTTTGTAAGATTTCTATCTTTTAATGAAACAGTAAATAAAAACATTGAAAATAATTCAATGAATAGATGAAAATAATAAGAAGAAATTCAAACTTTTAAAAGATTTGGAAATTATCCTAAATCTTATTTCTGGGCAATACTGACAAAGATGAAGATCAAGAATCACTTGAGGAAAATCAACTATACATGAAGATACATTAACCAATTTTAACACTTGCATTCAATGAATTTCTGAAAACAAGCTGCCTGCTCACCAGATCCTGTTATGACAATTTCATAAATTTTTCTGTAAACAATTTGTGAAAATCTACGATAAATTTGTAAAATTAGTATATACTATACTATACATTTAAAATATACTATATTTAGTGTTTCTACTCAAAAATAATCATATATATTTGTAGTTGTTTATCACTTCCTTTCTATATATATAATTTGAGCTTTTTGCTGACCCAAACAATGCCCAATTAGTTTAAATTAATGAGAATGTAGTATATTTGATAATCATAAGTGAATGTATAAATCATCAAGCTAAAGTTAATCAATGTTAATAAACTGACTTACTCTATTATCCAGATCAAATAGATATGAATCATCTTCTCTTTGGTCAGCTTCAGAATCAGAAATTATTTCTCCAATGTATCTATGTATTATTCAAATAAACAATGAAAAACACACTAACAACCAAACATTTAATAATGGAGTAATATTTACTCGCATATAAAGGATCCTTTTGGAATTTCTTTTAATGCACGAACTCCCCATCCCTTTTGTTTTGTTCGGAACAATTGTAATCTACTCCTACAAAAGAAATAATATTAAAAATATGAATCATATACATAAAAGTAACGAAAGTATTACTTCTTAATCTTTTATCTGAACCATACGTTACTCCATGTTGAAGTACTCGGTTATTACAATTTTTCCAACATAAACAAGCTCTATTGCACTCAAATATCATTGGAGGATCCAACATATTAAATTCAGGCAATAAATGGCCTTCCTATAAAAAATGATGTCAAGATTAGAATCAAACATGAATTAATTTTTTATGTTAAAAATGATGTAGCACTGTTTCTACTTACTTTATCATACCAACATTTAAAGCTAATAGTGGCACAGGTACAATTAGGAGAAGTACAATCATCATCACATCTGCAGCTCTAAATTAAATAAAAAAAATGAAATTATATAATTATTATCAAACTGAATACTATTTAATTTTTAATTCACATTATAATCTATATAAAATCTGAACTAAATAACATCTTTAATAAATAAGCATTTTTACAACTCATCAAACTGAAATGACAAACAAAAAAAATATGGAACTTAAATACATATTTTGTGTGATTATTTCCTAGTACTGTAAAATTCAAGTACAATAAAATTTGTCTAAAATAGTACTGTCAGAATTTTCCATTTTCATGGGTTCCCATTTACAGAGAGTTAGGTTTTTATTCATAAAAAAAGAATAGAAAAGTTGAAAATCATACATTTCATATTTAGAACTGTTTTTCCCTCAATATAAATATTTTATATAGAAGGAAAAACAGCCCTGTTAAAAACACAAAATGTAATTGGTGTACAAAGGAAAAAAATCTGCATAAAATCCAAACCTTGAAATGTTTTAAATGCAATTGAGAATTTAGCTGCTAAGCCAAAACATTCAACTTAATTCAGGTTACTCAGATATTTGATTTCTATAATTAACAATTTGACATTCTTGATGCAATGAATAGATAGTGAAGTTTAAAATGTTTGTAGTTTCACAATTGGTGACCAACTCGGTGTGCCAATAACATTAACAAAGTTCAGATAGTTCAATATGCTGACAAGTTGTTGGCTAAAAGTAACCTTCTCCCGGCAGTTGAAGAACAGACAGTGAGACGAATCCAGACTTGACTTAAACTTTGATGCACACTTGCAGATCTACGACAAACTTAATGTCAATTTGAAGCTCCAAAGTGAACTTGAATCTCCCGCTTCCTACATCAACTTTATATAGCCGTGGATAGTGGACTGGACAACCAATCAGCATTTACCTGGCCGTAGCCTTATGCAAATATGCTATGTGGTGTGAGAATCACACCACATAGCATATTTCTCATATTCTCTGCCAACCAATTGCTGGTCGTTGCTCTGTCGGAGGTCTGCGGCATGACGCAATCCATGGTTAACCGTCTCTGACCTGAGACGCATGCGCCACCAATTCAAATGCAATGGTTGTCTCCTCAATGGTCTTTCTTGGCTTTTACCAGTTTAAAAAAAGGCGGGAATCATGTTCTTATACGATTTACCCCAACATAGATTTATCATAAATTGTTGAAAAAAAAAATAAAGCAATTTAGTAACAGATTATAAACGATAATAGAAAAATTAATTAAAAGAATAATATGACTTTCTAATCATTAGTTATCGTGCATACTAGTCTAATATCCCTATTGAACAATTGCAGTCTTTGGTTTAAATGTTTATATTTATCACTTCAATAAATTATCATCATTATATATTTTTATGATATTTTGGTTTTAATGAAATTTTGGAAGTCTCTTGCTGTTAGTAATCATCACAAAATATATTTCAGTTAAGAACCAAAATTAAAAATTTATAATGCATCTTAACAAAATAATAATTTTGTATAGAAACTGAATTGTTTTTCTGTTTTGTTTACATATGAAAACAGGATATATATAGCAAATTAAGTCTATGATTTCCAAAATTTCTTATAAAAAGTAATAAGCATTAGGAATGAACTACAATTGCCTATATGTTAGAAAAGTATTTGTAGAACTATATTTCACTATATTTACAACATTACAAGTAATTTATTACTAATTCTGCTTAAGTAGTAAATGATTTATGTATTATATTTTATTTTTCTCTTATAAATATTTAGTTTTTTCTTGTTTATTTTTTCAATTTCAATCATTTAAAATCTCTAATTCAGATTATCCAAAAAATAATTTCATTTTCTTAAACAAATAAACAAATAAAACCTTCATAATCGTTTACTACTATGGATGCCAATGTATAAGTCAAACTAGCATGTAAGTTGACCTGAAGAATTCTGGCTCAAAATTCTGGTTTATACTTATATCCACACTATACATGCAACCACTGATAGACTAGATCTGAAATGTTATGTCAGATATGAAGCCCTCAAAGACATATAGTGCTAACTCTCAGTTCATGGCATTCTAAGATATTCAATTACAAATAATGAATCCTAACATCAGCATATATCCATATTATCTGGAGAAAAAGTACACTGGGACATTGCAAATTGCAAAAAGTAAAGTAAATGATATTATGTTCCGATGAAATTGGTTCTAAAGCATACCAAGCTTTCTATTAGTAGATCAAGGCAGATAACTTCTGTTGATGTGGAAAACATTGATGAATAACACCAAGAAAAATAAAATGATGTAAACAAAAATATTAAGTGGAAATAAAAAATTTTCTAAATGATACTTTTTGATTTTCAATAAACAATGCTATGAGGATTGCAAAAATTCTTGCAGATACACTGTTATTCCACATTATCTTGATCTGTAAAATCTTTCTTGTGGAATTTTTTTCTATCAGATAATCATAATCTTTTATGTTTTGAGCATGAGATGACAGCCATATCTAAAAGCAAAGTTCAGAGAGCAAAAATATTAACATAATTTTAGGATATTTTTTCAAATATTCCAACTCAATTACACCATAACACTATACGTCCCTGAGGACTTCACACATTATATGTATCATCCACATACTATAGTACAGTGGTTCTTAACCTTTTTATACTTGCAGCCCACCAAATATTTCATAATTTTTTGTGACCCTCATTTTTTAATAATTTATATTTGTTAAATTATCTATAATAAATTGATTTTTTATTATTGCTTTATTTTTTATATAATGAATGTAAAACATAACTTTATTATTTCATTATCTATTTAAATAACATTCAAACTTCACAATTAAACATAAAAACTAATTAATTTTTTAACAAAAAATAAAATTAAAAACATTTAAAAATTCATAGAAAAAACAAAAAATATTCAAAAATAATTTAATGAGATTTCTGCTGCTGAATATCCTCAACTAATTTGTTAATTCTTGGTTCAATTGTTTGTAATGCTATCCATATGCAGGCATCTAATCGCAATTGACTGTGTTTTTTTGTTTTTATATCCACCATAGTTGAGAACCCTTTTTCACACAAATATGCATAAATTTTGCATAATTTGATGACACCCAGTAAACTTTTTATGGGTCCCCTGTTAAGAAACACTGCTATAGTATATGGATAGATACAGTAGTATTGGTAGACTACTGAAATGTCACATATATATATATATATATATATAGCAATAGCAAAAGCAAACACCATTATCACATCATTTTCGTTAAAACCCTTATCATATACATATGTCCATCATATAACTCAACTGCTAGTTTCAGAAAAACTTTTTCAAGCTTAAAATCAGTTTATATACTGACATACAATGATGAACAATATATCAATAAAATGATAGTATTTTATTTATATTTGGATATTATTGATATAATCATAAGCTGAATATATACACAAATCTAACTGATATGACAGTGACTTTAAAAATTTTCATATACAGGATACTCAAAAGACTTATATTTTTATCAAAAAAGTCAACAATTTGTGAAAATATGTCAAAATGTTGATTTTGTGTATTGTCTTGCTTAAGCAAGAAGAATTTCATCTCGAAAAATGTTTTAAAGTTTTAAGTAACAAAATATTTGAATAAGAATGACAGTAATTTAATCCCTCCATGGTTAATTGGCACACCCTCCATTTAAAAAAGTCTTGTTCTTTGATTTAAATTAGTTACATTGCATTTCTGAGAATGGATTAAAAACTGATCTGTAAATGTTGAAGTTAAATCAAAAACTTGTAAATACACATTTTAATTTAATTAAATATGATAAATTTCAAAATAATTACTGATATTATTTTAAGTAATTTGATAAATACATACTTGTAATGAAGTAATTGTACGATCAACATGAATTGGTGATGTTTCACAATTTTCAGTAACATACAGAAAATCAGTTGGGGCTGGTTCTCCATCAATGCCATTCACACACTGGATTGGATTTAATTCTTTTCCTCTTGATATATCTCTAAAACATACATAAGAAAATTATAAAAATTAAAATATAATTAATTTACTTAAAAATAAATTATTTTCTGTTTTTTGCACTGACAAAAAACTTAAATACAACTCTATATGAATCATATAATGAAATAATTACCTTGTGATTGATAAATAAATACTTTTAATTGCAGAAACATATTTAATAAAGCAATTTATCTAAAACAAGCTGCATGTTATATAATCATGTTAAATGTTTCTGTTAAATGTTAATTAAACAATATATTGATCATTAAACTCAAAAATTCAGAAGATCACAATATTTCTAGAGATAACATTATCTAAGTAGCACAATTATTGTTTAGTCTATATAAATAGGCAGTCTCCAATTTGTGACATAGTTTTGCTCTAGGAATTCTTCACAAGTCAAAGTCACAAATTGGGCATAAATCAAATATAAAAAATAATGGTAATAGTGGAGCACATTCTCACCATTATTTCCCAAGGCTGCACATTAGCTTTTATATATATAATATATATATGTAACAGCTAATATACAATGCATATACGTGGTATGATCCAAAAGTTCGGGGACTGCAGTAATGTATGACAACAAAAGCATGTATTTAAAGTTACAGCGTATGAAATGGATTTTATCAAACCACCCCTACGTGTTCAGGTTGATTTCGCCCATGTCACATGATTAAACTGCGAGTGCTGTTGTTTTTTTTCGGAGATAGTTACCTTTGTTTTGCAACGTAATAAAAATGGAGTTTCAAGAACAGCGCTGCAACATTAAATTTTGTCAGCGTTTAGGTAAAACATCTACGAAGATTTAAAATTGCTAAGAAAGGTGTACGGTGATTCTACCATGGTGAAATCAAAGGTTTAAAGAGGGCCGAGAATCCATCGCAAATGATGAATGCTCTGGCCGACCTTTGACTTCACAGAACGAGGAAAATGTTGAGTTGGTCTCTCAATTATCTAGACATTTTACGTCGTTTGAGGGAATCCATTCGTCGTAAACGGCTGCAGATCTGGCGAAGTGGAGACTGGTACCTTCTGCATGACAACGCACCTGCACATCGATCCCAAATGGTCACACAGTTTCTTGCCAAATCTCAAATTAATGTGCTTCCACATTCCGCCTATTCACCGGACTTAGCCCCGTGTGATTTTTATTTGTTTCCATCAATGAAAAAGCATTTACAGAAACACCATTTTGTGTCATCAGATGAGGTGAGAGCAGCATTGCAGGAGACCTTACGGGGGGTTTCAAAAAATGGCTTCCAGAAGTGCTTCAAGAAGTTATATGAGCGCTGGCAAAAGTGTATCGTCGTCCAAGGTGATTACTTTGAATGTGGTTGTGCATCGGCAATATAAATTTTTTAAGGTAAGGAATTTTAAGCAAAGTCCCCGAACTTTTGGATCATGTTACGTATATTGTAATACAGTACAATGTCATATTACATGCATTTTGCTTCAAATAAATGTTTAATTAGTTAACTGTAATATTTTGTTTACAAAGATTCACAGACATATATGGATAGTCAACCAAGTTCAAAAAATTGAAAATCATAGTGATTGGATATTATTCTTCAGATAATATTTTTATTCATTTAATTTATTACTAATTCGCTTTATTATAAAATTGAATTCAAAATCCAAGTCACAGAATTAAACACAAAAAAGTTAGGAGTTATTGCTATATACAGAGAGAGAGAGCGAGAATATGTGAGTGTGTGTGTATCCCATTACAGTATTATATTTAACTATTATGGCATTAACAAATACAACTAGTTTAGACTCAAAAATAATTTTTTAATATACCAGTTTCAGCCACCAGAAGTATGGATGTTTTTAAGTCAAGGACTGACCATATATTAATAGAAAGTCATTAAACAGAACAGGAAAAGAATATTTACATAGATTATTTGTTCTTGCAAATATGTATAAAACTTATGCATGCAGGAGAAAATGCCATATTTGCTCACATATAAGATGAGGTTTTTATTCATTTATCACAGCTTCAAATTCCTAGATCGTCCTATATGTGCAAGTGAAAGATTCTTTGCAATTTTGCAAATAATTTTTGTGAACCATGTATTCACATTTTTTACCGGATGCTTATCCTCTTGTATTTAAAAACACAAGTATTTTATCTGGTCGTTTGAATAATTCTTGTATATTGTCAGGAGTAAAGATAAATAACAATAGGAACAGCAAAGCTTTTGAATTGAATTCCAAATTGAAATTCCAAAATCACATGGGAGCACAATATAAGTTTTCATTCATTCCCATGTGAAAACAGATGATTATTTGGAAATCAGAATTCGAAGAAACTTGTAAGTGTAATCAACGGAGAATTGGATTTGACTGTTAAGAATTGGAAAGAAAGGTTCCCGCTTGTCCAGCTGTACATGAACAAATTATATTGTCAATTTTACAAGATTTTTCCTTAGGCTGTGTACACACTAGGCGTTTTTAAACGCGCGTTAGCTCGGCGTTCGACGAGCGTGCACACTGGCTCGATTTGGAAATGGACGTAGAAGTGATTGCTTGTGTATGGCTCCTCTATCGTCGCTATAAAAGACAACGCGTCCCAAAAGCGCGCGATCGAATGTACAACAAAATGGCAGCACACATATCTCAAAGCGCCCGCAAAACGCGCGTTTATAGATTTTTCTTAAAACGCGCGTTTTGCGAGCGCTTTGAGATATATGTGCTGCCATTTTGTTGTACATTCTATCGCGCGCTTTTGGGACGCGTCATCTTTTATAGTGACGATAGAGGAGCCATACACAAGCAATCACTTCCACGTCCATTTCCAAATCGAGCCAGTGTGCACACTCCACTAAACGCTCGTCGAACGCTGAGCTAACGTGCGTTAAACGCCTAGTGTGTACGCAGCCTTAAAGTTTAAAATGCCAGTAATTTTTGCAGGACAATGTGTGCATTTATGTTCCTTTGATATTTTACTTGAGATTAAGTGAAATAAAATTAGAATTGTATTAATAAATCTAATTTTCTTTATTTTGATCTTTAAAGTCACACCTCATCCTATATGCAAAGTTGTCTAATATGTGAGTAAATATGGTAAATAATTAAATCCTATTTCCTATCAAAACCAAAATAAACTTTAATTTTATTGCAACTATGTTTTAACTTCCTGCTTAATATGTAGTATATGCAAGTAACTTAGTATTTTTCATAAATAAAATTTATATTGAGACTTTGTTTAACAAATTTGACTAATGTAATCAAATAATTTGTACGTGTATTTCTTTAATTTGCCAAATAGTTGATTTAAATCTCATTTTAGATATCGAAAAACAAACAGTTTAGATCAATAGGAATGCTATTTATAGGAAGTTATGTAATATTGCATATTATTAACTACTTAAACTAAAATTTTGATTGGTATACAAATTTTTGTTGTATCCAGAACTTTTTTTGCTTAGTTTTCAAGATGTCTGCTTATGAAGTTTGCTTTTAAAATCATTTTAATATTAATTTATTTTATTCAGTACAAATACAAAATTATTCCATATACGTATCATGAATTTACCATATTTATTGTACAGTATATGCCCTGCACATCGATCCCAAATGGTCACACAGTTTCTTGCCAAATCTCAAATTAATGTGCTTCCACATTCCGCCTATTCACCGGACTTAGCCCCGTGTGATTTTTATTTGTTTCCGTTAATGAAAACGCATTTGCAGGGACGCCGTTTTGTGTCATCAGATGAGGTGAGAGCAGCATTGCAGGAGACCTTACGGGGGGTTTCAAAAAATGGCTTCCAGAAGTGCTTCAAGAAGTTATATGAGCGCTGGCAAAAGTGTATCGTCGTCCAAGGTGATTACTTTGAATGTGGTTGTGCATCGGCAATATAAATTTTTTAAGGTAAGGAATTTTAAGCAAAGTCCCCGAACTTTTGGATCATGTTACGTATATTGTAATACAGTACAATGTCATATTACATGCATTTTGCTTCAAATAAATGTTTAATTAGTTAACTGTAATATTTTGTTTACAAAGATTCACAGACATATATGGATAGTCAACCAAGTTCAAAAAATTGAAAATCATAGTGATTGGATATTATTCTTCAGATAATATTTTTATTCATTTAATTTATTACTAATTCGCTTTATTATAAAATTGAATTCAAAATCCAAGTCACAGAATTAAACACAAAAAAGTTAGGAGTTATTGCTATATACAGAGAGAGAGAGCGAGAATATGTGAGTGTGTGTGTATCCCATTACAGTATTATATTTAACTATTATGGCATTAACAAATACAACTAGTTTAGACTCAAAAATAATTTTTTAATATACCAGTTTCAGCCACCAGAAGTATGGATGTTTTTAAGTCAAGGACTGACCATATATTAATAGAAAGTCATTAAACAGAACAGGAAAAGAATATTTACATAGATTATTTGTTCTTGCAAATATGTATAAAACTTATGCATGCAGGAGAAAATGCCATATTTGCTCACATATAAGATGAGGTTTTTATTCATTTATCACAGCTTCAAATTCCTAGATCGTCCTATATGTGCAAGTGAAAGATTCTTTGCAATTTTGCAAATAATTTTTGTGAACCATGTATTCACATTTTTTACCGGATGCTTATCCTCTTGTATTTAAAAACACAAGTATTTTATCTGGTCGTTTGAATAATTCTTGTATATTGTCAGGAGTAAAGATAAATAACAATAGGAACAGCAAAGCTTTTGAATTGAATTCCAAATTGAAATTCCAAAATCACATGGGAGCACAATATAAGTTTTCATTCATTCCCATGTGAAAACAGATGATTATTTGGAAATCAGAATTCGAAGAAACTTGTAAGTGTAATCAACGGAGAATTGGATTTGACTGTTAAGAATTGGAAAGAAAGGTTCCCGCTTGTCCAGCTGTACATGAACAAATTATATTGTCAATTTTACAAGATTTTTCCTTAGGCTGTGTACACACTAGGCGTTTTTAAACGCGCGTTAGCTCGGCGTTCGACGAGCGTGCACACTGGCTCGATTTGGAAATGGACGTAGAAGTGATTGCTTGTGTATGGCTCCTCTATCGTCGCTATAAAAGACAACGCGTCCCAAAAGCGCGCGATCGAATGTACAACAAAATGGCAGCACACATATCTCAAAGCGCCCGCAAAACGCGCGTTTATAGATTTTTCTTAAAACGCGCGTTTTGCGAGCGCTTTGAGATATATGTGCTGCCATGTTACCGTACATGCGATCGCGCGTTTTGCGGGCGTCAGCCGAGCGCTTTGAGATATATGTGNATATATATATATACAGATTGTATCATCATAGCTTTATTCTTTAAACAATTTAATAAAATTTTCAAATTTGAAATATTAGACTTTATCCTCAATTTCATACAAATTGATTAGCATATCTGATTAATATTTCTGATCATTATGTATCATTGTCACATTAACATTTACAATGATTTTATGTTGCAATAAAATTTATTATGGAGTTTTCATAATAGTAAATTTCAAAATTTTTAAAGTTACTTTGTTGATTAATAATTTACACTCTTCTATTTATATAATTCATAAAATGTATTGTAATGAAATTAAATTATTTCAATTATAATAAAAATTTATTTTAAAGTTGTCATGAAATGATTAGAACAATTTTTTTTTTTATTTGAGTATGTATTATAAAGATGCATTTAATTGGATTATTGAAAAATTATTTGTAAACATAAACTGTTAACATTCATTACAATATTTGAGAAATAAAATAATTTTAAAACATATGCCTGATTGTTGATAATCAACATTCCTAATTTAAATACAAGTATTAAATAAAGTCCATCTTTTATCTAATTAACACTTAATTACATACAGAATTATTAATTACAGTTATAAAATTAATTGATTGTTTGTGCATTATGAGAAACAGTATATTCATAACAACAATATTTTAATTAAAAGTACAGCTCACAGAATTCAAATAATTTGCTTTGAAAAATATCAATCTATAAAAAGATATACAGTAAAATGTTAAAAATGCAAAAATCTGGATTCAGCTGTCAAAAAATGGTATTAATTTACATGTATATTTGAAAATCCAAACAAACTGAAAATCTGGATGGGTCCAATCCAAACAGATTTTCAATGCTTCAGTGTAATTGCAATTTTACAACCATAGAGGTAAAACAAAAATAATTTAACTATTCACTTAACTATACTTTAAGAAATCACTCTCTAAATTTTATAATTAAACAACATCTAATAAATATAAACAATATAAATATGACTTTACAAAGATAAAACTTTGCATTTTGTCCTTCCTTTTCGCTGGCCATGTACTTGTATTAGTTTTTTATTTAAACAACATCTGTTTAAATAATTATTCTGCTTTAAACAAATATTAAGTAATCATCTAAAATGTTTTAATTACTGAGAATAAAATACCTTTGAACAATACTATACAATGTTTATATAATATTAACTAGCTGTTACCCACGACTTCGCCTGTGCGAATTTTGCAAGCAAATCCCATTTATATTCAGTATTTCAACAACCATAGTAATTGTTATATAACACCTACTGCTGAGAATGATGAGAATTGCTGAGAATCNAACCTGATGATGACTGTTGAAGACGGTGGAAAATATTCGTTTCGAAGTGAATTATTGCTGATTTTTTCGGTAATTACATATTTATTTTATTGTATGAAATTAGATTTAATATAATTTATCTGGTTAAAATTTGTGACATTAATTATGATTTTAGAACAATCATTTTTGCTTGTTAACCCTTTTCCAAAACAAGATTTAACTCATCAACCCTCTTCTATACTTGTAAAAAATATGAATAAAATAATCAAAAAGTAATGAAATAAAAAAATCAAATAAACATTTTTTTATTAAACATAAAATTTAAAATTGTTTTTTACTTTACTAAAATTTAAATATAAATATATAGTATACAGGGGTCTCTCTGGAAAATTTAAAACTATTGCCAACTATTTGCCATTTAAAATTCTTTTGCCACTTCAAATTATTTATCACCATCAGTTTTGCTTACTAATTAATGCAAATGCTGGTAGCCTTATCAATTTGGCATCTGGAAAGCAAAAGTAAGCTGTCACTTACAAGGAGAGGGACAGACGTTTGTTTCTCCAATTCAAATGAAACTTGGTAAGCACATAGCCTTAAACACAAATAGCTGCTTGTCCAAATAATAGAACCCACTTCTCAAGTATTTCTAAAAACAGGACTTCTAAGAATTCAGTATTTAGCTTATAAGCCTTTGAAAGTCTCATGTCTCTGAATGATGATAGCCAAGTGGATAAGTTGCTAGGCACTGAACTTAGATGATATAGGTTCAAATCTTTGGAATTTCAGTTTAGTTCTTTTTATGTGTAATGTAATTATTTTATTTCATTATTAGCATCACTATTACTATTATTATTCCTCACGTTTAAAGCTTATAAAACAAAAAATTAAAAATTGTGACATCATTTCTTGTTTAGAGAAAACAAGTCCCTTTAGATTTAACTTGTTTACATTATTAAATAAAATGTTTATTTCTTTACATTTATTTTCAGATACGATGGTATTGTTTTTATTTGAAGTTGTAACAAACATGATTGGAAATTGTCCATAATATTAAGAATTAAAAAAAATAAAACATTGCGACTATCCTACCCTATTTTTCATATTGTCTTTTTGTCCTCTGATTAAATTATTGTTGATAGATATCAATACAAAAACAGTTCATTCATAAAATATTATATTTATTTTTATATTTCCATCTTAACTTCCATAATGCACAGTTATAACATATTTTATAATAATTAAATAAATATTACTCCACTATTATATCATTTTATATCTATGAGGTGTTTCTATATTGTAAAGTTGTCCTATTCTGAGGACTCTGTAGCTCCAACCAATAAGCTAATTGACACTAAAATTTGTGTACACACTATTCAAAAGAAAGAATTTTGCAAAGGAAAGTTTAGTTCCAAAATTGTCCACTATAGGGTAAATGGCACTGAAAGCAAAAAAATATGATCTGCATAGCCATATAGAATGATCAAGACTTTTGCACAAACATTTCACTTATGACTGGATAATTAGTGATCAGTTCCAACTGTCTGGCCACATTCTCTGGATCTGAATCAATATGATTTTTGTCTGTGGGGCATTTAAAGAACATGGTTTAACATGGTAATGCTACAACATTGGCAGACTTAAAAGAATAATATTGCATTGAATGTTCAAACCATCACAGGGAACAGTTGCAGTCAGCCATTGAACACATAGTGCTACATCTTCAAATTTTGCATCTAATTGATGGGAAATACATTGAACAGTATTCCCTGCATTAAACAATCTGTACAACACTTATTGATATGTCCCTATAAGAACAAATAAATGCTTTTTCATGTGTGTTAGTTGTTTTGTTTTGCAACACCATTTACACTGTAGCAGACAATTTTGAAATTTTTCTTTGCAAAATCTTTTATCACATTCTTTAAATAGTGTATACACAAATTTTAGTGTCAATTGCTTATTGGTGGAAGCCTCTGAACAGAGCAACTTTAATTATGATTGCTTGGTATTTTGAATATGTTTTACTATTAAACAAAAAAGAAATTATAAAAAAATTCAAAAATATATTTTAAGTAATGCCTTAAAATTGAAATTGTTAAACTTTAGAAATATTTTTAGGCATCCTTCCACATATATGTTAAAACTAGTGGTGTAAATCATTCACCACTATTTATTTCAAGAAATGAGTAAATAAAATCATAATAAAACCTTCAAGTGTTTGAAAAAATATAATGAATAAAATTTAAATATACTATAGGTCTATGAATAAAATTTAAGCAAATTGATTTATTTATTTATCATTCTATAATACATTCTGTACATTTAATTAATTATCTAATATTAATCTTACAGGTAAATTATTAATAATAATTTATTAATAATTTACCTGTATTTATTTATAACTTATTAATTTAATAATTTATTAAATTAATAAGTTATAAATTAATAATTTTTTGCAAATGAATAATAATGTTATAAAATTACTTTCTCTTAATAATTCATTTTGATTTTTTAAACTACTAATCTTTTAGAAATAAGTGTAAGAAATAATCAATTTGTATGAAATTACAGTCATCACTCATCATAATACTACTGGTGTGTAAATTCAATTCATTGCCTTCTTTCGCCCTTGATGATGACGTCAGGGTGGACTTTGATAATGCATGATTAATATAACTGTGTGAGCACCAGGCTAGCCTAAAATGTCTTGAACAGCTGGAGATTTTTAAAGCGTTCAGGAAGGAAACGGCCATCAATTTTAAAGAAACAGACTTGTTGGCGACTGCATGGAGGGTGTATTTTGACGTATAATAGATCTACGTCAGCACTACATCTGCCATGCACATAACTTCAAGATGCAATTTTCAAATTTTTGGGATCGAACCTGATGATGACTGTTGAAGACGGTGGAAAATATTCGTTTCGAAGTGAATTATTGCTGATTTTTTCGGTAATTACATATTTATTTTATTGTATGAAATTAGATTTAATATAATTTATCTGGTTAAAATTTGTGACATTAATTATGATTTTAGAACAATCATTTTTGCTTGTTAACCCTTTTCCAAAACAAGATTTAACTCATCAACCCTCTTCTATACTTGTAAAAAATATGAATAAAATAATCAAAAAGTAATGAAATAAAAAAATCAAATAAACATTTTTTTATTAAACATAAAATTTAAAATTGTTTTTTACTTTACTAAAATTTAAATATAAATATATAGTATACAGGGGTCTCTCTGGAAAATTTAAAACTATTGCCAACTATTTGCCATTTAAAATTCTTTTGCCACTTCAAATTATTTATCACCATCAGTTTTGCTTACTAATTAATGCAAATGCTGGTAGCCTTATCAATTTGGCATCTGGAAAGCAAAAGTAAGCTGTCACTTACAAGGAGAGGGACAGACGTTTGTTTCTCCAATTCAAATGAAACTTGGTAAGCACATAGCCTTAAACACAAATAGCTGCTTGTCCAAATAATAGAACCCACTTCTCAAGTATTTCTAAAAACAGGACTTCTAAGAATTCAGTATTTAGCTTATAAGCCTTTGAAAGTCTCATATCTCTGAATGATGATAGCCAAGTGGATAAGTTGCTAGGCACTGAACTTAGATGATATAGGTTCAAATCTTTGGAATTTCAGTTTAGTTCTTTTTATGTGTAATGTAATTATTTTATTTCATTATTAGCATCACTATTACTATTATTATTCCTCACGTTTAAAGCTTATAAAACAAAAAATTAAAAATTGTGACATCATTTCTTGTTTAGAGAAAACAAGTCCCTTTAGATTTAACTTGTTTACATTATTAAATAAAATGTTTATTTCTTTACATTTATTTTCAGATACGATGGTATTGTTTTTATTTGAAGTTGTAACAAACATGATTGGAAATTGTCCATAATATTAAGAATTAAAAAAAATAAAACATTGCGACTATCCTACCCTATTTTTCATATTGTCTTTTTGTCCATGTACAGTAACATCCAAAGTTTATTTTCTTATGAGGACAGAGTATGTAATCACAAGAGAAAATATTTGAAAATAAATGTGAAGAAATACAAGTTTATTTAATGATGTAAAACAGTTAAATCTAGAGACTTGTTTTCACTAAACAGAAATGACATCACAATTTTTAATCTTTTGTTTTAAAAGCTTTAAATGTGAGAAATAACAATAGTAATAATAATGCTAATGATGCAGTAAAATATTAAAATAATTTTGTTATACATAAAAAAAACTAAACTAAAATGCTGGAGGTCTGAATCTATATCATCTAAGTCCAGTGGCCAGCAACTTATCTACTTGGATATCATCACTCAGAAACATGAAACTTTTAGACTTAAAAGCTAAACACTCAATTTTCAGAGGCCCAATTTTTGGAAATTGGTCCTATTATTTGGACAAGAAGCTGTTTGTGTTTATGGCTACATATTCAACAAGTTTCATTTGAATCAGAAATCTGAATATCTGGTCCTCTCCTTGTTAGCAATAGTAATAATTTTTTAATAATTCTAAATAACTTGTTTAATTACAATGCTTAAATGATATTTCACATGTTCCATCATTTCAAATTTTTTCTTTTAGTCTAATGAAAAAAAGTCATGAAAAAAATTCCCAAAATTTTGTTAGTCTATAAAAAAAATCACCTATCTGGAAATGCTCAGCAGCATTGCACAAAACTGCCTTGTCTTCAGTTCTCAATGTCACTTCCTATTTTTCTGCTTAAACTTGTCATGTGACATCATGAAATCACTAGGTGTGTTGTGCATGGGAGCTAGACATTCTGCTGTTTTTCTTGAAGTGTGTTTTGTGATTCAATTTCATGCTGAATGTCAAAATAAGCAAACAAGAGATTTATTACCAGTATTATATTTTTGTCACCACTCTAATAAAAATTTGCCACTTGCAAATATTTTTATTAAAGTGGCAACAAATACAGTGGGACCTGAATATATGACAATAATTAATAAGTACAATAAAAATAATTTTTCCATGAAACCCAGTGATCCTTGAATATTTTATCAACATCTCAGAGATCAAAATATCAGAATAATAATCCTATTTGAAATATTCGTACTTTTTTTTGGAAGATTAAATACTTAAAAAGTGAAAATACAATTCCAAAACTCAATCTCATTTTTATCAAATATTTTAAAATTTGTTAAAAATAAGTATTTATATTATTTTCTATCTAATTTCCATTAAAAATTTCTACACCTCTCAATAGATAACTTCACATCTATCAATTTATAAATGATAAATTGCTAACAGAACTTGTCTTTTCAATAATCTTTTCAATAAGATTACCATCAGGAAATGATCTTTTATTATGCACAGTACAGTCCTGTACAACACAGGGGATTCATTACGCATTATAGGAAATCACGTTATTGAAACCTGCATTATCATACAATTTATGAAAGTTTAAATCTTGGCCTATAAGTTGAAAAAAAACATATACATCTGATCAACAAAATTTGAGGGTGTTGCTTGCTTTATTTGCATGTTGTATGGGACTCTACTGTAACAAGAACTCTACTGAATAAGATAAATGCCATCAAAATATTTGTACTGCTTTTTTTATTGTTGTTCATTTCCATTTATCTGGTATTAAATTTAATAATAATTGTGTAAAAACAGTTCATTTAATGTCTTGATATATTAATTATAATTTTAAAACATTCTCAATTAACTTTTTAATTTCTTTATTTAAGTTAATTGTAACTACACTTATAATTTTTATTCTTGGTGTTCATACAGGCGATATCTTTCTTCATTTGTAATAATAAAATAAACTAAAATACATAGCATATTCTTGCAAATCCAAATTTCATTTAATTTGAATGAATTTTATTCATTTTCCACTAAACATTCCAGCCAAAAACAAAAATAAATTGTAGATTATGTTTTAAAATATGATAACTGATCTGTATAACTAATGTATGTAATATAAGTTAGTTTTAAAAATTTATCATGTTTCAACATAAATACAGTAGAACCTCGATTATCCGGACTAATTGGGGATGAAGGTAGTCCGGATAAGGAAAAATCCGGATAATCGAAANTCTTAAAATCAATTATAATCAAAGATTTAAAACTTTTTTACTACTATTCAATTCATAAAATACACCAGTAAATAAACTTGAAAAAATTATCATTTAAAAAAAAATTGTTACATTATCTCTTATATTGGGGTCAGCTCCTCGTTCAAGCAATAAACGTATCACATCAATATGCTTATGTTCAGATGCCCAAACAATTGGTGTCCAGCCACCTTCATCCTACAATAAAATATTTTTAAAAATTAACTTGTAACACAAATTTAGTTAATGTACTATAATAAAATTTATTAAAATAAACTTGAATTAAAATGCATAACTTATTTTCTTTCTATATATATATATATGTGTGTGTGTGTAATATATGAAAAATACAATATAGAATACTGAAATTACTAATTTACTAATTTACTAATTTACTAATAAAATGTATAAAAAGTACATTCAATATAGTGGTATATTGAATAACAGAATACTGAAATTAAATGTGTGGAAATTATACAATATGTATAATTTCCACACATTTAATTTCAGTATTCTGTGTATTCAATATACCACTATATTGAATGTACTTTTTATACATTTTATTAGTAAAAAACATCTCATTTCCTTTGTCCAAAATGTTAATTTTCCTTATTATAATACTGATCCACAATTCCAATAAAATTTCAAAACTTTTTGGATTCCAATGCTAATTTTGATATTAAATTTAATTTAATGCTTAACAAAAATGTGTAAAATGCAGGTTATAATTATCTTACTTTTTTTGATAAATCATTAACAAAAACATAATATATATATATATATTATTCTTTCAAAAATTTCTCTGACAACTTCAAGTAATGAAATTATAAGTATAAAAATATTTTGAAAGATGTCAAGTAAAAAGTAAAATAAATGAAATATTCTACACTTATCACAAATGTTTTAACATCAAAAATGATAATTACTTTACATATTAATAATTTTAGTAGCAAACAGAACAATAAGAAAAATTCATTCTTATTATTTTGTAAAACTTGTTTTACTCTACAAATAAATAATAAAAATTTTTTGATTCAAAATAAAGTCATTCAAAGAAAAACAAGTCACATATTAATTAATGTTCATACTTTATTTATTTATAAAAAAATCATCTCTCTAGATCACATGGAATTAAAAACAGTGTGATCACAAAAATGAAATAAAATTATTATTCTATTCTAATCATAGATAAATACAAAATAGATCGGAATGGTTTGAATATGTAAAGAGAATGGAAGACAGATTACAAAAGAAAGTTTTCAAATAAATGCCAGAGAGAACATGCAGAAGAGCTAAACCTAGAAGCTGAATAAACGAAATTAGATGGTTATGGAAAAAAGGGAACTTAGACATACAATCAGAGAGAGTAAAAGAGAGAGAGGTGGATTGGAGAAGAGTGATTAAAAGAAGTAGATAATATAACAACTATTTGGTTGAGTATAATTATTAAAAAACAAAAAAAATCCTAATGAAAGAATTTATATAAAATAAAAATTGCAAGTAATATTTCTAGAATCAAACAAAAAATTAATAAATAATTTAGATATTATAGGTTACAGAATTTTGATATATAGATTCTCTATCTGAAATGCCAAGCTAAAATAATGATCCTAATGTAATGATACTAGAATTTTCTTATATTTGAAGAAACACAAACAGTTACCTGAATATTAACATTAATTCTTCCAGTATCAAGTATCATTTTACACATTTTAACACTACCACATCTGGAAGCTAAATGCAATGCAGTCATGCCCTCTTCTCCCTATGAACAGACACAATAGTAATTTTAAAAAGTTTTGAAATTAATGATTAAATTTATACCAAAAAAAAACTTAATTGCAATAATAATTATCTGTGATATTGATTTTTGACCAATGCAAAGCAATGTTTCCTTCCTGAAATATTTTAACATAATTTGAATTTTAATAATCTTAAAATCAATTATAATCAAAGATTTAAAACTTTTTTACTACTATTCAATTCATAAAATACACCAGTAAATAAACTTGAAAAAATTATCATTTAAAAAAAAATTGTTACATTATCTCTTATATTGGGGTCAGCTCCTCGTTCAAGCAATAAACGTATCACATCAATATGCTTATGTTCAGATGCCCAAACAATTGGTGTCCAGCCACCTTCATCCTACAATAAAATATTTTTAAAAATTAACTTGTAACACAAATTTAGTTAATGTACTATAATAAAATTTATTAAAATAAACTTGAATTAAAATGCATAACTTATTTTCTTTCTATATATATATATATGTGTGTGTGTGTAATATATGAAAAATACAATATAGAATACTGAAATTACTAATTTACTAATTTACTAATTTACTAATAAAATGTATAAAAAGTACATTCAATATAGTGGTATATTGAATAACAGAATACTGAAATTAAATGTGTGGAAATTATACAATATGTATAATTTCCACACATTTAATTTCAGTATTCTGTGTATTCAATATACCACTATATTGAATGTACTTTTTATACATTTTATTAGTAAAAAACATCTCATTTCCTTTGTCCAAAATGTTAATTTTCCTTATTATAATACTGATCCACAATTCCAATAAAATTTCAAAACTTTTTGGATTCCAATGCTAATTTTGATATTAAATTTAATTTAATGCTTAACAAAAATGTGTAAAATGCAGGTTATAATTATCTTACTTTTTTTGATAAATCATTAACAAAAACATAATATATATATATATATTATTCTTTCAAAAATTTCTCTGACAACTTCAAGTAATGAAATTATAAGTATAAAAATATTTTGAAAGATGTCAAGTAAAAAGTAAAATAAATGAAATATTCTACACTTATCACAAATGTTTTAACATCAAAAATGATAATTACTTTACATATTAATAATTTTAGTAGCAAACAGAACAATAAGAAAAATTCATTCTTATTATTTTGTAAAACTTGTTTTACTCTACAAATAAATAATAAAAATTTTTTGATTCAAAATAAAGTCATTCAAAGAAAAACAAGTCACATATTAATTAATGTTCATACTTTATTTATTTANCAAAATTAAAATAATTTTCGCGAAGGACCATGTGTATGGAGACAAGAATAGAAAATTTACACACTGAAGTACTAATAGTTCACGAAATTAATAATTTTCGTGAACTATTAGTACTTAAGTATGTAAAAATTTATTACATTTCATGTTGTACGAGAATTTTACCCATTTCTCAAACCGTGTCAGAGTGAATCCGTGCTATAAAAGTACCGTGTTATACGGGGGATGGTACCAATTCTCAAACCGTGTTAGAGCAAATCCGTGCTATAGAAGTGCCGTGTTATACGGGGGTTACCTGTACTCCATAGTTAAAAATGAAAAGAAAACTTAAAAGATTAATTTAACTTATAAATATAAATCTGTATCTTTCATAATAATATATTATTATGGAATATGCAAATTCATAATTTATAATCATTTATGAAGTTAAAGTAATTACTAATTAAATGAAATAAAATAAAATCACAATATACAGAGTTTACTCACACGGGCATCTAAATGTGCACCAGCCTTGATTAGATACTGAGCTACAGCTACCTGTTTTTTCTCTACAGCAAGCATTAAAGGAGTACAGAGATGATCATCCATTTGGTCCATTAGTGCACCAGCCTAAAATTATAATTGGTTTGTATTATTTATTTATTTATTTACCAAATCAATCTACAGAAAGCCCAAATTACAGGTCTGTTTAACATACTAAGAACATAACATAATATTACATAAAAATTGAAACATAACATAATGTTATACATGCATATAAAACATTTGAATTGAATTTAATACATAACAAAATACAAAAATTGAAAAATGTAAAAACATATTGAACATGTAAGAACAATCTCCACACTAATTTTTATGTTTAATATTAAATATCTTCAGCAGTGACTGTTGAAACTGTCGCTTAGAACTAAACAAATCTAGTTGCCATCCAAAGTAATTATAGAGTACTGCCAGTTTATGAATAGCAATATTAGGTTTATACAAAGGAATTTTAAATCTAAAATATTTCCTAGTAGATACAGGTACTTGCAGATGTAATTCTAACAAAGCAGGAACCTCAATTTCAGATTTTAACAGAGACCTTAAAAACTGTATACATTGGATATTACAAAGTATCATTTAAAGCTGGAAAATACATTTTAGCCTCTTCTTGATTTAACACAGATTTCTTTCTACAATATCTTCTAATACAGTTATTAACTGTTTCTATTCTATGTTGAATTGTCATCGGTTGTGTATTCCAGATCACTACTGCAAATAATATCCTCAAACAAACAAAAACTGAATACAAAGATTTTAGATGGTGCAACAAGTTTCGGTGGTGGATCCTCTGAAGAGTAAGAAAGCCGCACTTCTAGCCCTGATGGATAAGACCAGATATAACATCATGCAGGAGAAATTACTGCAGAAATTTGGGCATCCTCCCGACTGGAATGGGAGCTCCCTGCCCAAGCGCAATGAAGTGTTTGTGGGCAAAATCCCTCGCGATCTGTACAAAGACAAGTTGGTGCCTGTCTTCAAGAAGATCAGGTGCATCTACAAAATCCGCCTGATGATGGAATTCAGCAAGAGAAACAGAGGATACGGATTCATCAGGTACACCAGTCCGGCCAAGGACAAGAGGGCTGTCAGGGAACTGAACAATTTCGAGATTCACAAGGGTTGCTTCATCCGGGTGTGCAAGTCAGTAGACAATTGTTGACTGTTTGTGGGCAAAATCCCCAAAAACAAGACCAAGGAAAAAATCCTGATGGAGATGAGGAAGATGACTGAGGGGGTGGTTGACGTCATCCTGTACAGCTGCGCAACCAAGTCCAAGAACTGGATTTGCCTTTGTTAAGTATAAGAACAACCGAGCTGCTGCCATGGCCAGGAGGAAGCTCATCCTCAACCAGATCCAGTTATGGGACCATGAGATTGCCATGGACTGGGCCAAGCCCGAGCTGGAGGTGGACGAGGAAACCATGTCCAAAGTTACTGTTTTATTTGTAAGAAACTTGATGCTGTCTTCAACAAAACATAAAATTAGAGGTGTATTCTCCTGTAACAATTCCTTAAAAGTTAAAAAAGTGAACAAATTGGGACATTTTACTTTTGTACATTATAAGAGCAGGGAAAATGCTTAAAAAAGCATTGGATTCACTTAAAGATTATATTCTTGATGGTTCAGCAATAGAAGTAACCTGGGCAAAACCAGTTGATAGGTCTACCAAACAAAGAAGTCTCGCAAATTTTGGAGCAAGCTAACAAAATCAATTTAAATATTAAATTTACTCAGGAACATGAATCAAATAACCAGTTAAATTATTTAGATATAACAATTAAAAGATGTAAAGATCATTTAGAATATTGTAAATTTGAGAAACCATGTAATACAAAAAAAGTTATTAATTTTAAATCATACTGTCCTTTAAAACAAAAATATAATATATATCTAATGAAAATGACAAAGATTTTTTCTAGAATAACAAATATAGAAGATGAAAGAAAGAAAGAAATTGGAGATACACATAGGAAATATATCCTAAATGAATACCCAAAGTGATTATTGAATGACTGGTACAACAGATTTTTAAAAAATAGATTTAAAGTTAAACAATGTCAAGGAATAAAACAGTATGTATCATTTCCATACATAAAAGGTATTTATGAAAAATATAATAAATTTTTAAATTAATCAGATTAGCTCCATCTCAAAATAACAGGTTATCAAATATGATGATTATAAGAAGCACTAAAAAAAATATATTAGAAGAAGAAGGTGTCGTTTATCGAATAGAATGTACTGTACAGTACATGTAACAACCCTATTTTTTACATTGGTGAAACTAAATGAAGACTGAAGATTAGATTGTTGGAACACCTGGCTGCCGTAAGGTTGAAAATTAGTAAGTCTCCTATCTTCCAACACTGTAATATTAATAACTGTCAAATTAATACTAATAAATTAAAAATTATCTTTAGGGAAAAAAAACAATGTAAAACAGAAAGTAAAAGAACATTTTGCTATAATTATGCAGAACAACAATGTAAATTTGAATAAGGGATTGTTAACAGCAGAATGCTGGAATTTTTTTGTAAATTATGTAAGTGGTTTCTCTTAATAAGTTATTGTTGGAGCACGAACTGTGCACGATTGGACCTACTGAAGAGGCCTTCCATAGGCAAAATGCATTTAGGAGGTTTATTAATGTAAATAAAAGTTTTCTTTGCAAGTTGATCTCCTTTTTACCTTTTTTAACTTTAATCTTTTTTATTCATTGTTGATACAATGTTTTAAAAATTTCTTTGAAGTTATAAAATATCCATAAGTCAGAGGAGAGAGAAAAATATATATTTTTTTTCATGTATTTTACAATTACGTAAGAAGAAAAGAAGTCTCCCTACTTCATAAACAACTGTTATGACCTATATATATATATATATATGGGTCATAACTATTTATATATATATATATATATATATATGGGTCATAACTGTTAATAGTTGTTTATGAAGTAGGGAGACTTCTTTATATATATATATGTAGCCAAGCAAGTTTTGATCCATTTGATTATGGAGCCAGTATGGTTTATCTACCAACCCCCCCTCCTCCTTTGCCTAGAATTCCACAATCAAGTGCTGCTACAGTAAGCAGAGGAACAGTAGTATCTCAAGGTGTAAGAGGATATGCTGGAGGATTTGGAAGAGAAGCACAACAGCTTATTGTGAACCTTTAGAGCATTGTTTTATTGAACTCCAACATAACATGGAACTAATTTCTACTAATCTGTTTACTTTGAAACCTATGCATACTCCAGTTCAGGTTACAATAACTGGTTTATTTGGACAATATAATGTTTTTCAGGGAAATAAATGGTGCACATATCTTGAAGGAGCAAAGCAAATAGCCTCAGAATGCATTCTAGTACAATTAGGTATATAGTTAGAAGGTTCTTATTTATGTTTTTGATGTTAAATCACATCAGTTAGAAAAAGACATGCACTATTATCAGTTATGTTTAGAATCCATTCTTCAAAAGTCTCCTGAAAAAAAGTATTTTGTTTAGTACATAAAATAGATTTAGTTCCAGAAGATCAAAGGGAATTGAATCTGATACTGAAAGTACAGTTAATATTGCAGTGAAATTCAGTTCTCCAGTTAATTGTCAGAGTTTGTGACAGATTACTATTTATATAATAATCAAATGCCAGTGAAGAAAATTACTTCCAAAAGTTCTAAAAGTATGTTTGACATATAAAACCTAATACAAATACAATGCCAAATAATTATGATGATGAACAAGTTTTAACACAACTGTGTTATTTAAGAACGTGGGATATTATAAGAATTTGATGAGAAGTTTAGTAAAGAGCAAATATCCAAGCAATCCTCGTGGAGTTAGTTATATATTGCAGTCTCTTGAATTTTCTAAAATGGAATGGCAAATTGGAAAAACCAAAGTATTTTTAAAAAGTTGTGTTCATAAACCTTTGGAAGATCAAAGAACAATACTTATTCGTTCTATTGCTATAATTATTAGTGTTGCAACGAATAGTATATTCGACCTCAGGCTGAATACCGAATATTCAGCCAGGAGCGTGGCCGAATAGCTGAATATTTGGCCATACTATTCGGCTTGATTAACGCATGTATGAAAATTGGCGTGCAAACCACGTTATGGCAAGGACCCTGCTCTCTATTGTCCCGCTGTCACTACGCTTCGCCAATCGCGTTAATTCTTGACAGTTGAAGCAGACAGACACGAGCGTCATGGCAGTATGTGATAAGTGGTGATATCAAATGTGGATAACAATGAAATGACCTACACATGTAAATAACAGAAAAAGAAGAGAGAAAGACCGCGAAGTGAAAATGTGAAAATAAATATGAAATTGAGTTCATAACATAATCGAACAAGTCGAGGCAGCTTGTTGGTGCGAAATTCGCAGCCATCAATGCCAAACAATTGTTGTCATAGACTTCGAAAAGCTAAATGCTTATAATGAAAGTCACTTAGCGTGCACGGGCGAAAGCCTGGACCGTTCGGGCTACCAAGCTGTCTCGAATCTGTGAAATCATAACAGTGACTTATACCGACATCTTATCTATCTCTTTTCTCCGTTATCACCAGGCTATGAGTCACGTAATTGTAAAATAAGAAATCTACGACGGAAAAGTGACGAATTGAAAGTATCGTGAGCGCGTATTATGATGTATGCATAGGCATACATGGACTAGAAAGATAGAGGAAAGAGAAAGGAAAGAGCAAAGACGAGCGCTTAAAAAGAAGGATAGGCAGGGTCAGACCCTCACTGTCAGATGTGTGACAATTCTCGAACGAATAGGTGTGTACATATGCTGATCTTTGTAATTATAAATTGTGAATACAAGTGACTAATATTATGTTCTTTTTTATTTTGTGCATGTTATAAGTTATAAATAAATATAAACAAACAACACTAACCCGATAACATATAATCTAAATACAAAATGATTAATTTACTGTGTTTTTGTTATTTCTTACTCCTGTTTTTAGGTATTTGGTATTCGGCCGAATAGTGATTAAATATTTGGTATTTGGCCGAATAGCGAAAAATAGGCCAAATAGGCTGAATACCGAATAGTAACCGAATATTCGTTACATCACTAATAATTATTCAAAACTGGAGGGGATTTTTATGTAAAAGAAGTAAGTTTATTAAAAGTAACAAGATTTTAGTACACTTATTTCCAGATATTGTCTCAAAAATCTAAAAATCATTTCCAAAGTTCTCATAGCAGTTGTAGTTATTTTTTTCCATATGTACGAGGGTGCTTCTAAAATTCATGGAAAAGTCCGTAACTAAAAATTGTTTGGAAGGATTTTGATTTTAATGCACCTGAACATTCTTGTACTGACGTGTTATAACATGAACCCTTAAATTCAGGTAAGAACACAGTGCTGCCAGTTGAAAGTCAGGCATCATTCAAGCAACATAAAATCCAACAAAATCAAGACCAGAACAAACATAAAGTTCATGGTGAAACTTGGTTGGAAGAATAAGCAAATCATTGATGCTCTGGAACAAGTTTATGGTGATAATGCCCCAAAGAAGTCAACAACCTAAAAATGGATAAGTCACTTTAGAAGTCAAAAAACCAAGGTTGAAGATGAGCCACGCAGTGGCAGGCCAACAACGTCAGTTTGAGAGGAAAAAATTGATGCTGTCCGTGACTTGATTAAAAAAAATAGACAAATAACTGCTGAATTGGTAGCAGATACACTCAACATCTCTGTGGGTTCTGCACACAAAATTCTTGTGGAGAGTTTGGGACTAAGCAAGCTTTCCGCTAGATGGGTCCCAAGTTGTTGCGCCCAGATCAGCAGCAAACGAAGGAAGATCTTTCAATGGAAATTTTGAACAAGTGGGATGGGGACTCTGAAGCTTTTCTGCAAAGAATTGTGACAGGGGATGAAACATGGCTCTACCAGTACGATCCCGAAGACAAAATTCAATCAAAGCAGTGGCTGCCCAGGGTGGAAGTTGACCAATCAAAGCAAAATCTAAACGTTCAAGAGGAAAGGTCATGGCCACTGGCTTCTGGGATGCAGAGAGGATTTTGCTAGTTGACTTCCTCGAGAACAAGAAGACAATTACATCTGCTTATTGTGAAGGCATTTTGAGAAAACTGTCCAAAAGAATCTCGGAAAAACGCCCTGGAAAGTTGCATAAACATGTCCTCTTCCACCATGACAATGCACCTGCTAACAGGGCTTGTCAAACAAGAGCTGTGCTATGTGAATTTTGATGGGAAATCATCCAACAGCCCCCTTACTGCCCTGATTTAGCCCCATCCAACTTCTTTTTGTTTCCAAAGTTGAAAAAATCATTCAAAGGCACCAATTTTCCATCAGTCGAAGTTGTAAAGAGAGCTGCTCTGACATGGTTCAGATCACAAGACCCTCAATTCTACTCAGATGGACTTAAAGACTGATATCAACGTTTGCAGAAGTGTATTGACCTTAACGGAGCATATGTTGAAAAATAAACATCATAACTGAAATAGTTTTTCATACTATCCTTTTTCCACAAACTTTTTGAAGCCCCCTCATAATGCAAAAGAAAATTTAGTATCATAATGCACCCCTCTTACAGTGTCTCTTCTAAAATTTATAAAAAAATATTTATATAATTTTCTAGCACTTTTGCTTTTATATTATCCTCTGAGTTATAGTTTAAAAAATATCATAATATTAATTTACCTGTACAAGTAAATGCACAATAACCAAATGACCACCAGAAGCAGCTGCATGAAGAGGTGTTTCATGTTCATTTTCTTCAGATTTGGAATCTGGATCAATTCCAGTTGCTGTAAAAAAAAGTTAAAATCTTTTAATTATTACTGAATTTGAAAAAGCAATACAAAATAGTGAATAATTTGTATTTTTAAACTGCTTAATTATTATCACTGAAATGTTTAAATCATTTTATTTTATAACAAAGTATAAAACTGTTTGCTATGTGATGGGAATTTTTCATTTAAACAACCATTTTACAACATCAAACTTAAATTTAAAAAATAATTTAGTTTTTAATTCATTCAATTCAAATCTACATAATGGAGTACAGGCTTCATAAAAGAAATATTTAGTACCTTTTAAATACAAAAAACATAAATGCTCTTAGAGAATATTTTTATAAATTGTTGTAAATAAGTTATAAATATTCTAAGATATCATCTAATAATAAATGAAATCTCAAAAAAGTTTTTAAAATTTAAATAATTTGACATTTTAATTCATAATATAGCTAATTTTCCTTATTTATTTTTAAAACCTTAAATTTTGGCAAATTCCTAATCATTCCAGCATTCTTCTTGTAAGAAATATTCTATCATTATTTTATATGATTACTGATGTATATTTACATACAAATATATATATATTTGTATGTGTAAATTTGTATTATATATATAAAAATAAAAATTATATATATGATTTTTATTTTATTTTTTTTTAGAATAAATAAGTAATCTGACATAAATGAATAGAAAGATTTATCGTAATTAAATTTCTTTAGAAGATAAACTGCCAGAAGACTAGTTTTGAAGAAAGAAAATGTCATTGGTGTCTTGTTTAATGTTATATCTGGGCATTCTGAATTAATTCTTACAAAAGAAAATAATTTATCTTCAACTATGTTCAATATGTCATTGTTAATAGCTGAATCTGAGCTTTTTTCTCCTTTCAATAATGATTTTGCCAAAACTCATTTGAATCATGTCAGTCAAACAAGAATTTAAAAATGATAGTAATAACAATTTGAATTAAGATAAATATAAAAGTTTAGTCAAGTCTTCAACATATCATTTGAAGCAAGATTTGTGAATTTCCTGAATACTGAACTTTATACAAAGCCTGTCATTATATCTATTAACTGACTCAATAATTAACATGCTGAAATTCAAATAAAAATGACTGATTTTAAAAATCACATTGCAACTTCACAACAACAAAAAAAATTATCATCATCCTCCTAAGTCAATTTTATTGAAAATTGAAATATTTTATTGTAAATAAGTAATCAAATTACTTAATCCAGCACTATAAAAATTTATTTTGAATAAATTTAATCTAAGACTAACAGACTATGACTAGACTATGCAGACAGACTATGACAGACTAAGACTATGCATAGTAGAATAAATTTAATCATCATCATAACAGAAAAATATTATATACTTAATAAATGCAGAACTTTATCAACATCTCCTTCTTTTGCAGGTTCATATAAATTTTTTACATTATATCTAGGGCATAAAGATTTTTCTGTGGCAAGTGATACAAGAAGAGCTTCTAATTGAACACGATCTGGCCCCAGTGGAAGTCCAGCTGAAACATAAAAAGTTATGAAAAATTAAGTTATTAAATTTTTCCTGTACAGTATGTTTACAATAATAAAAGCATATTAAAATCAGACATATCTTATTTGTATACAGACTGTAAAAAAACATTGCAAAAAGCTATATCACACTTCTGTTAAATAATAATTAAATAGCTACATGTATACATGTAATATATATACATAGTACATACTATGTATGTACTATGTAATATATATTACATAGCTACATGTAATGTATATACATAGTACATAGTATGTATTATGTATATATAAACATACATGTATATATGTATGTACTATGTAATAACCATATGAGGTTTCTCTGCATAGCCTTGATTATGCAAAGCCATACAGAGAAGCTTTGCAGTTTCACCATTTATTTTTCATTATTATTATTTTTATTTTTTGTGTTCAGCTGCTTTTTCCTTTAAGTATTTTGACCAAACAAAAGATGATCTTGAGAGACTACCACTGTATAATTTAAACTATGCCATTATCTTTTATAGGAAAGGATCTTAGATCAGATTTTCTCCATGCAAACCAATAAATAGCCCACAACCTATAACTCCAGTGCAATTGCATTTAGTTATTAAGCAGTAGAAGCAAGATTGAGCCTAGTATAGTGTTTGTGTCTACACTCGATATAAAACTATTAATTGATAACTAGAGCTAGAATATACAAGCCCCAAAAAAAATCATATAAATAATTATAAAAATTGTATGTTATAATTTTTATAATTATTTATAGGACTTTTTAGTGCCAAGATGTCCTAACTATTAACAAGCAAGAACCAAACTTGCCAGTAAAAGGGTTAAGAGTACACATTAAAACAATTAAAAAATGTGTAAGTTGAATATTTATTTATTATATTTATTATCATTATTATTAATTAACAACTACCAATCCATTAAAATAAAGAAATGTCAGCAATTTAAATTACTATACTTTAAGCAAATAACAATTAAAAAAATTAATGTTTAACATTTGAAATACTCATTAAGACTGATAAAAATAAGTAATAACAACCGCACATATTGAGGCTGAAAACATGAAAAGACAGCTTAAAAAATGCCTATTTACTTTGAATAGTAATGTTAACAATAACCAAAATTCTGATTATAATAAGTTTTCACTTCACTACTGTTCATGTGGAAGTTCTGGCTATATAGGTCTTTTCTTCTGAAGTTGCTACCTGGACTAATATAAAGAGTGATCTGTCTGGCAGAAAAAACAATATGGCAGCAGAAAGACTGATGCATTGTGAACCAGTACATCTGAGTCAGAGAAGTCAGAATAGCCAACATAAGAAAGAATTTCAAAGCTGAGTGTTCCTGACTGTACTGTGGACGGACAAACCAAAAATGATGTGCAGTTTTGTCATCAGAGACTTTCCAAAACTTCAGTTTGCCTACACAGTGGGCAAGCTGGAGAGGTGGAAAGCATTTGCAAATAGAGTAAAGCCTTGAGCACAGCTGTCTCTATGCATAAGTGTCACAGGATTATCTCTAACTGACAATTTGTGCAAATTTCATAAAGTCAGTGATAGAAACAGCTGATGGTTACAGTCTTTCTCCCAATGACTGGAAGACCACACTTTGGTCAATCAGCACTTGGAATCAGGGAGATAGTTCTCATGAGGTTGCCTGGAAACTCAGAGTGCAAAATACAGCCAGACAATGCCCCAATTGGTCAGTATAGTTGCTGTCTCATTGAGTGTAATGCCAGAGTGACCAAGGATATCATAGCATAACTATTCGAGCTGAAAATAAGAGTTGCTAGATTATCAGCAAGGAAGAGAAGAGTAGGCAGACTCATGTTAATACTGTGAGAACAGACCAGCTGACTGTAATGATCATGGGTGCTGAGGCAGCTACTCAATTGAAGTGCCAGGATGCTCAGTGCCTCTGATGTATATATTGCAATGAAGATTATTGACTCCGACTCTGATTCCACAACACTGGTTTTGAGACCCTCTAAACCCAAAAAAGCAACCAAAAACACTGACACTGTGTATGTGTGTGTCTGTTGTCTGTCTATTTAGTTTAATGTTTCAGAATAGAATAAAGATTAAGAAATGAAATTTGAGATGATAAAGTGTGTATAAAGAGCATTGACACTTGAATTTTGGTGGTTGAGTGAGAGATAGACGGGTCAGATATAGAGGAGTCGTACTTACTGAAAATTGCAATTTTTTTTAAAAAGTCATCTCTTCCTTCAGAATAAAACTTCATGTCTTTTATATTATTAACTATAATAAAAAGTTGGTTTTTAATAAAATCATAATTTCACTATAGGAAAAATTAAGTCTGTTTTAATTCATGTTTTGGGGCCTGCTATTTCTGATGAATAATGGATTCTATCATATCTCAAAATTAGTATTATTATTCATTAATTCATATCATCAAAGAATGCCAATTAAACAATAAATAATTTTAAAAATTAAATACATGGCATAGTTTATAATAGAGCAACTTTCAATGCCAAGATATATATTATATTATCAAATTTTATTATTATTTACCAGAAGAAAGAATTTTTCCAGTTTCAGGAACAGTAAATGATCTTGATGGTAAATCATCACTCTCGGCTTCATCTGCTTCAACTAGTCTGCTAAATGCCATTTTTGCTTTTGGACTAAAAATAAAATCCAATGATTATTTTATCTATTTCATATTTTTAAAATTAAAAATCAATAAATTATTTTAATTAATTTATGTTTTATACTTATGACCATTTTTAAATAAACTTACGTATCTGTAAGGGTAGGTTTCTGAGTTAGGTAAAATGCTGGAGGAGTTGGTGCACTCATTTCTAAATATACACTTTTAAAATCACTTGATGATCCACAATGTGGACACAATGGTGAATAACCATTATCTTGAATTATTTGACAGCGTTTATGGAAAAGATGTAAACAAGGTCTTCCATCAGTTGTCGTGTAACATTGAAAAAAGTTTCCCTAAAAATAGATTATTATTTATTAAAGACATTTCAATATTTTTATTATTTGGAAATTTAGTTGCATTTCTGCACAAAAACAGAAATGCAACTAAATTTCCAAATAACAAAGCAATATCTAATGGAATATTCACTACAGACACTTCACTATAAAAAATATTTTCAGTTAATTTATTCATTACAGTTTGACATAAACTAATATAAGAACTTATTACAGAACAGTTTAATTTAAATTACCTTTCTATTTGTTAAGCATATACTTCATTTATGTAACAGTAATAATTATTTTACTTTTTTTTTAGAAAGAATACTGCACTAAAGTTTCATAATCTGATCCAAATCTAGACAGATTTTTGTTAATCTTTTTGTTTCAATTCATTATAAAACCTGATATAAGAATTTTTAGTTTTACCATTTTCAAAATTATCTTATGTTTTCTCTGCAACAAAATATACAGTAGAGCCTCGATTATCCGACCCCCGATTAACCGACACCTCGGTTAACCGACCGTCCTAGTTGGCAAATTTCAAATGTCCGCTAGTGATGTGGCGCTACAATATTTGGCTCTGTCTTGGCTACTTTAATATTATTTTTACGTGTTTTAGCTGGCAACATTCATTCGACCATGAAAGGGAGCCAGTATTTAAACGAGGCTTAATTTTCTAATTTTTAACGATACAATAGCGACGATTATTATTTTAAAAAATTTTTGTTAGGCTTAACATCAATGAAAATTCAATGCAAAGTAGGTTAATAGCGATATACTAATATACTAATTACATGGGATATAATAATATACTACACTAATAATGGATTTTTTCGTACTTTTCGGTTATCTGACTTTTCAATTATCCGACCAACACCAGTCCCCAATTGAGTCGGATAATCAAGGCTCTACTGTATATCAGTTAGCTTCTTAGGATCGCATTTATAAAAATTCAGTAAATCTGTGATAATAATATAAACTGTCACCATCTTAGTACAGTAGAGCATCAATTATCTGAATATCGATCAACCAAAACATTGGTTAACCGAAAGCATTCCAGTTGTCAAATTTAAATTTCTGCTAGTGCTGTGGCGCTGCAATCTTTGGCTATGTCTTGGACTACTCCAATATTATTTTTGTTGGTGTGCGTTGTTTTAGCTGGCAGCACTGGCATGACCATGAGAGGATACTTAAGGACATGCCAGAATTTCAACATGGGATAGGTTAATATATTTTTTTGTACATAATCGGTTATCTGAAAAATCGATTATCCAAACAATCCCAGTCCCGAATTGTTTCAGATAATCGATGCTCTACCATATGCTTTTTCTTAGTNGGCCTCAGGCTGAATACCGAATATTCAGCCAGGAGCGTGGCCGAATAGCTGAATATTTGGCCATACTATTCGGCTTGATTAACGCATGTATGAAAATTGGCGTGCAAACCACGTTATGGCAAGGACCCTGCTCTCTATTGTCCCGCTGTCACTACGCTTCGCCAATCGCGTTAATTCTTGACAGTTGAAGCAGACAGACACGAGCGTCTTGGCATTCATTCATTCATTCATTCATTTATTTTTAAAAATGATTATAATGTCCTTAGAGAATTAAAATCAGAAAGTATGGTGCAATCAACTTGAATAGTTACAATTAAAAAATTAAATGAAATAGTAACATATTAGTTAACTATTTAGTATAGTGAATATTTGCTTTAAACATAGTTTACATTAGGTAATTCTTGTCCAATTTTTATTATTTGTCATACAATAAAACATAAATTGATACTAAGTCAGATAAATTGAGTATTGTCATTATCTTTCAAAATTTAATCCAAAAAGTATTAAGATGTTAAAACATTGGATGATTTGCTCTATTCTTATAATAATAATCATTTATTTTCTACACTTTAAACTAATTGATTAGGTGATTTAATTAAACAACTGTGCTCTAAGAAACCAATTGTAAATACAAAATTTAAAAATCTACAACTGCCTCAAAACATCTAAATAATTTGTAAACAGTTTGATATTGGAGGCAAGTATTGAAGCAGCTTTTATCACTTATTGTAAATTATGTATTACTCTATTTCTTTTAAATTAAATATTAATATATAAGATCAAATATACCAAACATTTAAACCAATGATTTCCAACCTGGATGCCATGTCACATTAGTATGCTGAAAAATATAGAACTGAGCAGCACCATAACACTTCTTATGTATCACTAAAAGTATGAAAAACACAATAACTTTAAATTTATAAAGAAGCAGGGAGTGCCACAAGAAAATATTGCCAAGTTGAGGTGACACCATTAGAAAAAAATTGAAAAACACTGATTTAAATATTTTCTTATCTTTAATTTTATACTTTTTTGATAATATAAAAAAGGATCCCATTATATATTTGTAATAAAATGAAAGTGCATTCAATAAAAATGTTTTACCTGAGTACAAAATATTCCACATCCTGGACAACAATGATGATGACGAAATCTCCATAGATGTGATTCACATAGGGCAGTAAAAGGGATCCTTACAGATGGTCTAACTAATTTTTGATTTGTTACGAAATTACAACAACCTATTAGCTAAAAATAAAAAGTTTTTTCTTTATTAAACAAGATATCATAAAAATATAAGGAAAAATGAGAACAATTTCAGATAGAAAATAAAGCTCTGTAGCAAGAAACATTGATACAAAGAGTATTGATAAGGAAACCTCAATATCAATATGCATGTTCCAGTGCAATAACATTGCAGCAATGTTAGCAATACTGGCATTCTGTTTTGGCTTTGTTGGAAGGACCTTCAGCAACATTGGAACATTGGACTGACTTACCATTGGAGTATATCCAATGGTGAGTAGGTCCCTTGCTGTTTCAGTTAAACAAAACGTTGATGACAATGGTCAATGCATGTATCCAAGCTGAAGGAAACATTCTTCAGTTTAAACTTGACAAAAGTCTGCCATTTGAGTTACAAAATAGTAATTATCTTATTTTCAATTATTTAACTATAAAAATACAGTAGAGCGTCGATTTTCCAAAAGTCAATCATCTGAAACGTCAATTATCCGAAAGAATTTCAGTCAGCAAATTTAAATTTTTGCCAATGCTGTGGTGCTGCAATCTTTGGCTATGTCTTGGGATACTCAAATATTTTACGTTTTTGATACTAAATTAACTTCTGAAGTATAATTTTTTATTGTTTTTATATTTTTCAATATATTTATTTTGTTTGTACAAAATAAAAAAANAACGCAAAGCGACACGCAATGGAGAAAAATTTCAACATGGGATAGGTTAATATATTTTTTCGTACATAATCAGTTATCTGAAATATCGATTTTCCGAACAACTCCAGTCTCCAATTGATTCGGATAATCGACACTCTACTGTAATATAAATGAGTATAATGTACAATATCCTCATTATTGTACTGGATACAGCCACAATATTGCATGTGATGGTCATAACCACAAGACAATGTTAATAACAACATCTCTATTCCAACTGTAATGGAAATATGATGCCACACATTCTAATGTTTGCTGTCTAACACAACAGAATATGTTGGTGTATTAGATCAGGTATTATGATATTTCCAAAATATCAAATTCCAATTTCAAACATATTAATTCCTGTTACTATTATTGTAAAAATATATTAAAAAATAATCTTTTCCTCTTTTCAGCAAAATGTTTATTAATAGAACAAACAAATGTTTTTAGCCTGATTTATAGACCTACCTCAGGTCTACCATCAACCCTACTAAAAGTATCTCTCACCTTTTCAAGTTAATTGGTTCCTAGAAGTTACTTGTAGAGTAGGAACTAATTTTTCATACAAATAAATACATAATTATATTCCTGTGTATGAAATTTTAAATAGGAAAACCTTGAAACAACAATAAAAATATTTGGCAACAAAATTTTTATTAATATACTAGCTGCAAGGACCCGCTTTGTTGGGTTTTTATTTGTTTGTACATTTGTATGTAACATAGTTTTTTCTATATATAAAAGACTGTTTTTCTAAGTAATCTAGAATCTAGCTGCAAAGACCCGCTTCTCTGGGTTTTTATTTGTGGGCAAAAAGTAACGATAGTGAAGATTAAGATAATTACATTATAGCCAATCTTACCCGTTTTCACAGAATGCAAGAATTAGGTCCCCCGTTTCCAGACTAATTAGAGAATTTTTACGTCCAGTCAAACGAACTATTTTCAATTTGATCAATTTTCTGGAACGTTTACAATCGTTCTATAATCGAACCAATTCGAATTCGAAAATTTTTAAAATCGAAATAGAAAATCTTCCACTTTCAACCACTTTCAAGCCCATATCTCCCGCACCCTTATAGCTATTGAGACGCAACCACAATAGTGCATGAATGGAGACTTGGGACTACTACCACATACAAACACCATTCATGTGCGATGTGTAGTTTTGGCTGAAAAGTGAAATATAGGGACACACATGTCCATTTTTATATATATATATAGATTTGTACTACAATAAAAATATAAACATTATATTTAACTTTAATTTCCTTTCTTTTTAAAAGGAAAAATAAACAAAATTAAATTACTTTTTAAAATATTTTTGCCTGAATGCTCACTCTTTTCTATAGGCCAATAGATGCAGCAGTAGCACCTTTATTGAGAAAATTCTTAAGATCATACATTTTTCATTTTTTTAAATATTTTTCTTTATATTTCATAATAGTACAAATAGTAGAAGAACAGTAGAGAATATTCGATACAAAGGTCTTTAACAGTGCTCCCAATTTTATAACTGCTTATAATTTCATTATTGTTTTCTAAAGTTATTGATTTACATTGTTTTTTGTTATTCATATTAGTAATGGTATCATTTTTTGGCCATGCTGAAAGAATACATGAAATACTTAAAAGCACAAAAACAAAAAAAAATAAACTTTGCATGAGCTACAAATGAACAACAATATATTATCTGCTCTTAATGATGACTCATTAAGAAAACAGTCATTCACTAACTCATGCTTTTATCAATGTTTCATTAATACATCTCCCACAATGCAGTAATGAGTCAGATCATAAAATTGGGAACCCATAAAGCAGGAACTACCTGTATAAAAAAAGTTCTATTTTGAAATATTAGGTTACGTTATTTTATATATATATTATATTAGGATTGAAGATAGACTTGAGGTAGGCCTTTAAATCAAAAGCTGAAAATGTTTGTTTGCTTAACTAAAACATTTTACTGAAAAGGGAAATAAGTAATTTTTTCGATATTTGCAACTGCTTCCAGTTTTGTTTTACATTTTCTTGCATAAATGTTATAAAATAACAATTAAATAATTTTACTATTAAAAATAATCAAATAAAACTTTTCAGATCAAGTATAAATTTAAATTTTGCTAATAACCATTTTAACTTTATTGTTTCATTAAAAAATGTTTCATATTATAGTATTATAGATAAACATAGAGAAAAGACACAATTTCAAATATTAAGGATTATAATATTAATTAAAGAAGAATATGACATCATTATATATAATAATGATTCTGTTATTTTACTTACTTTATCATCAATAGAATCTAGAGCTTGACAATAAATTTTAGATTCTGTAGTTACATTGGAAGATGCATCTAAAGGTTCTTGCAAACAGGTACATGATGTTAAAGGTGGCATCTTGTTGTGATACTAAAAATTACACATTTTAAAGTAGAATTTATTAATTATCTGCTTTAAATGGTGTAAATAAATGTTCAATAGTTATGATTACTTGTTAGATATATAAATTTAAATAATAAAAATTGTGAATAAAATAAAGAATAAATAATACAATATAATTAGATGTAGTTAAACTACAAGTTATCCATGAATACATTTATGTTCTTTCCAATTTTAAAAATTTATTATTCAGTGTCTGCAAGATAAATATATGTAACAAACATGAGCTGAAAGAGTAACTCAAAAAGTTTATTTAAACATAGAAAGAAACTTATCAAAAAACCAATATTTATGTGACTATGAAATTGTTAATTGTTTTGAAATTAACAATTTTAAAGTCACATAAATATTAAAAGAAAGAATGAACAACTTATACAATCCATTATCCAAATCTAATCTATTCCTGAAAATCATTTGAATATTGGGAATCCAGATATCAGGCATCTATTTACATTATTTCTTGTAAAAAAGTTTTAACTTCTTCTCAGACCACCAAAATTATTCAAATCAAATTTTCCCAAATAAGATTAAAATATTTCAAAACACTTTTTTACTTATCAATCAATGATTTCAACACTACAGACTCCAATCACTTTACTAACAAATATGCAATGAGATCATTAAAGGATAATTTTGTAAGCAGTAACATCAAATAAGTTTGATTAGTATCCTTTTTAGAAATTAGAAATAAACTGAAATTTTATCTTTAACAGCAGTAGACAGCAATGAAAACATCATAACTATACTGTAAATTTTACATTAAATTATTATATAAAAACAGAATAATAATGAAAATAAACAAAAGAGATGGAAACTTACTGAAATAGCAAATAAGCTCATCAAATTGACCTGAAATTTTGATAAAAATTATTAAACAGCACAACAATGGTAAGCACAACGCCGCAGAAACAAATTAAAATACAGTAAAACCTACAAGAGGTATAACTTCCTTAAACAGAAACAGAAAAATTGCATTTATTTTATCATTACTGCCAATTTTTATCATGAAATGTTCTGCATGTTTAAGATGGAACCTGAGAGATGCAAATGGAAAGCTATATGTATTATACTATATTATTAATTCATACTAGTTTATAACCCAGTTAAAGACATAAACAGTACTTAATCAAAAATCCTGACATAAACATTAAGAATAAAATAAATATCAATAAAAATATTTATTTTTCTTATATCATAATATATTTTAAGAACTAGTTTAGTTAAATATCATAAATGGCATTAATGAGTTCAAAACTTGTTTTGAAACATAATATACCTGATAAATTTAATTAAGGCCCAATATCATTCTAAAACTCAAACTACAATTAATATGATTTATAAGTTCTTACTATGAAACAATGAATCAAAATATGTTGAAAACTAGTAAACTTTAATAATTAATCTCAAATATGTGCATTAAACTTATATTAAATTTAAAGTTTAAACATCTTTCAGTTTCTATATGTGCCACTGAAAAGTATGTGCCATTTTTCAAATCAAGATCTTATAACTAGGCAAATTTAATCAAGAAAGACCTCCTATTGCTTACACTTTTATAGAAAAACTAGCAGACTCCACCACGCGCTGTTGTGGCTCAAAATGTATCTATTATAAATGTATAACACTCCCCCCGTGGGGGTGGGAATTTTTCGAAAAATCCCTTCTTAGTATACATTCTCTTGACGTACTCTATTAAAACGCAATCAAAAATGAAAAAACCGCATCTAAAATACTATAATAGAAGCCAAGTTCTTCACAGTAAGCCTTAATCCTGTCCATCTCCCCCAGTGAGGGGAATTTCGACACGTATATTATGTAAAAACATGTCCGTATTCGAATGCAGCGTTGTGTCAAAATTTCAAAGGAATCAGTATGAACAAACGAACATTACATTTTTATTTATATAGATAGATAGATAGAAGATGATCTGCTTTAGTTCATCCTCACAGAAAAGCATGTTTCACAGAAAAACAAACTTAGGGCGTCATACTCATAGCACCATCTGTTGACCATAAAAGCCTTAACCTAGATGATATCTTTTAATTTATATGAATGTTTAATGAAATAATATACAGCCTATGTCCACCCTGAAGTTCCATTCTAAATATTGGTAAAAGAATTTTTGAAACTGGATGAGAAGTTTCAGAGATTACCCGCTACATACAAACTTACTTACAAACATTACCTCTTTATAATATTAGTATAGAAGTATAGATTTTCAATGTGTAAAAAGAATAAACTTATTCCATTCAACTTTGTGTTTGATTTTAACCAAAACTTTAGATAATGTTATTAAGCTATCTGTTTTCATCTTCATTAATACTGTGTAAAATTGTCTTATTATATTAAATTGTCGTGAAATTGACTTAGGTCAGGAACACAAATATTTTTACATATTTGTGTTCCTGACCTAAGTCAATTTCAGTTTTAAAAGTTAATGATTTTTCTGCTTTTCAAATGCATTGATGTATGTATTAAAAAAAAAAGAAAATTTGTTGAAAATGTTAAAAATATCACTATTAATTTTGAATAAGACAAACATAGAGAGGAAGCTTGAAAATAATGAATTTGAGCAAGTACATCATTCAAGATGGCATCTAAAAGTCTACATTTTCAGGAAGACAACACAAAGAAATTTCATTTAGAACACATCATCTTTTTTTGTTATTTGAGAATATACAATAATATACCAGGTGATTGTAATTAAATTATCTCTATTTAGAGCACTCTGTAACTTCCAATGAATAGGCATAATGACACAAAAATTTGTACTACCATATTTTTGCAGATTGTCTAGAATGTCAGTCTATCCAGGACAAACCACAAAATCAATTTTTCTGTATGGTAAAAGCAGGCATGCTGATTTAAATGAGGTCATACATCCCTCTGTAGATGGTGTATAAAAAAATAAACAAGTTTTTATTCTAAAATTGTGAAACTGTCAGCTTTACATTAGAGTGGCCATGCAATAGGAAAAGAGTGACTAATTACTCTTTCATCAGTGAAATGATCTTATAATAGCTGTTGCATTGGTCTTGTAATATGAAGCAGAGATTTTGGTCTTTGCATGCATATTGTCTCATCTAGCATCCTCATCTTAATAGCATAGCAACCATTAACATAAAAAATTTGACAATTAAAGCATGATCAGGCAGAACGAGACAGGTGTTTTACCAGTTTTTAAGAATATATTTCTGATGCTTATCTTTATACTCCACTGCAAGGAGTTTAACTCAGGAGCTGCAGTGTTAGTTAAAAAGACATATCTTGATAACAAGTTGAATGGTCGACAGGAAGGGGCTGCCATAATAGAAAAGCGGAAATGTGAGGGCAGTTACAGAGTACAATTAGACGACGGAAGGACAAAGTGGGGCCATGCAGGTAGACTTTGAAAATACTAGAGTGGGTCTGTGCCGTCGGAGTAGTGTTTGACTCAGATGTGAGTTTCAGGGAGATAGTGGAGGCACCATCCATGCGGCAGGGGTATGACCACGGGTGGGAAGACAAGGAAGCCAGGGGGATCCCTCTATGCCTACTGCCCTCGGCCCAGAATGACCTACATACTACATTAAAGGAATATCCATTGGTGGTTAGGAGTAAGCCAGGGAAAACAAAGCTAATAATGCATAAGATAACCCTAAAAGAAGGGTGGACACCAAGAGGATTCGCACCATATCGGGTCCACAAGCATCTCTGTGCATAAATGGGAGTTTTCTTCCCGGATGTTCCGGAAAATGGGTCAGCCACACGCATTATACCGTGCCTATAAAGTGTTATGTATCAAACAGGCTCAAGCAAGCTCAGTTTGATCCTCAGTTGGGGAGATGCCACGGTGTTATCATGTAAGAACATGATACGTCAATTCAAACTTGTAACGAACTCTGTTAAGAAAAGACTGCTGAGGAAACAGCTGGTGAGATTTCAAATTTGTGGTGCATGAGTCTCAAGTTACAAATGGTTGGTGAACAATCACCATAATTACGCCATGTGGTGGACCTCTGATAAAGCTACGACCAGCGTAGTCATCCCGCTGTCCATGGCTATATAAGGTCAATGTGGAAGTGGAAAATTCAGGTTTGGTTTGGAACTTCAGGTTGGCACAAAGTTTGCTTTCAGGTTTCAGGTTGACATCAAGTTTGTCGTAGATCTTCAAGTGTACATCAAAGTTTGAATCAAGTCTGGATTCGTCTTGCTGTCTGTTCTTCAACAGCCAGAAGAAGGTTACTTCTAGCCAACAACTCGTCGATTTGTTGTAAGGTGTCTTCTCGATGGACAAGAACAGGAAATACAAACTATCTGAACTTTGCATAGTGTTATTGGAGTATCGAGGTGGTCGCCAATTGTGAAACTACTGGACATTTTTAACTTTACTATCATATTCTTTTGGTTTATGATGTATGCTATGATCTAATGCTGACTAATTAAGGAGGCCAAAAACATTTATCTAATTAAATTGTTTTGCTGGAATTTGTAAAAATTGTCTTCTAATGAAACTGTAATATCTTAAAAAAAAATCTAACTTTATTAATAAAATATCAAATTAATTTGAAATTACCGTATATTTCTGCAGATAAGACAACCTTCAGATAAGACAAGGTATAAATTTTCGTCAAAGTTTTATAGTTTTAGCATATATCTGTCCTATAAGACGAACCCCAAACTATCAATGGCCTATGAATTTAGTTTAGATCAGCGATCATCATCTGGATAATAATACTGTATAGCGTATACAGAATTATGTCCTATTCGTAACTTTTCGAATGAACAAATTTTATTTTCTTGCATCTGACAGCACTGCCTTGCAATTGCAAATGTTCGCACTGATTCAGGCATTTGGGTTGACTATTCACTATTGACTAATAGCCTTGACTATTCACAAAAATGTCATATGGGCTATTCTATTTTGTGGACATACCCTACTCTCTACTAGTAAATAATTATGGTTTGTCCATTTTTTTCCTCAGTAGCTCAATAAACATAACTTTTAATATTTATTTTGTACATTACATAACTGAGAACACTAAAAATCGCTTAGCACGGCACAATACTAAGATTGCTGTTATACTGGCTAGTTTAACTTTGATGCTACAACCTCTAGACCAGTGATTCTCAACCTTTTTTTCATCATGGTACACTTAATAATTTAAAAATTTGGCGGAACACACGGTTACTTCAGTAAGTACTGCAGGAAAACTTGTGTAACAGTGATTTTTAAATGCAGTTGGTTATTTAGGTCACATTTTCTAAACGTCTTGGTAACTACTGGCAGTTACTGGTAACATCGGTTACAATTTCCAAATGTGCTCCAGGAAGGTAAAACCAATTGAACTACTTGTCTGACATCGCTTATATATGGATATTTGCAGTGGCAGCAAACTTCAAAAATCTTGCGATACATTGATTGAGAATCACTGCTCTAGATTTCTCTCTGATTAAACCATTCAAAGATCACATGCGTGAATAATGGACTAACTGGATGATGAATGGTGAAAAGTAGTGTACGAAAGGCAGAGCTTTGCGGGCTGCATCACTTGATGTGCTGTGTGATTTTGTGATCGAATCATGGGAAAAAAGGAAAGTGGAAACAGTGATCAAATCCTTCAAAAAGTGTGGGATTTCTAATGCTATGGATGGTACTGAGGACGATTTGTTATGGAATACTGATAACAAAGCAGAAATCAATTCTCTATTTATAGAATGGGGCCCATATGACAAGCTTCTCAACAACGAAAGTGAGGATGTACTTGAGGAGCTATTTGCCTTAAATGATGAATGTGAGGATTTTAAATACATTGGTGAGTAATTTGTTTTATTTTATAATGGTTTTAATTTATATAAATTTCAATCTAATTTTTTTTGTATCTGTCCTATAAGATGACCCCGGATTTTGTGGGCCTTTTTTATGATTCAACTATTGTCTTATCTGCAAAAATATACAGTATATATAATAACTTGTAAAAATCCTGTAAATATTCCAAACATGGAGAAAGATCTGTTAATTAGTTACATGGAATAAAACTTTAACAAATTAATGCAATAGTTAATAGAACCAAGTTTCAAACAAAAAAATTCTGTCTAGCCCAGCAGACATCATCAAATTTGGTAAATTCATAAAAAATAATGACTTCAAAGTTTATCAGAAAGTTCAGAAAATACAATTTATTTTTGTATACATGTTGCATATTAATGTCGGAAACAAAAGTGAATTCAATAAACTACAGTTTTAGCAAAAACCAAAAATTGGTTTTCAAAACTGCTTTTTGAACAGTCAATGAAAGCAGCATCATTATCATTACAATATCATTTCATTTACTTGCCTTTATTTACTTTTAGCTAGCAGAAAAATACGCTTGTATTTACGATGATTCTACATAACTGATGCAGAAGTCGCTCTGGAAAATTTTAAAATATTGCCAACCATTTCACCAGTTTTAAACTTTTTTCACCACTTAATTAATTTAAAATTATTTATTGCCACCAGTTTAACTTATTAACTAATGTAGGTACTGGTAGCCTTATCAGTTTGGCCTCTGGAAAGAAAAAGTAACACATTAAGCTTTCACTTACAAGGAGAGGGCCAGCATTTGGGTCTCTGATTTGAACAATACTTGGTGAGCAGGTAGCCATAAATACAAACAGCTTCTTGTTCAAATGACAGGACTCACTTCTCAAATGTTTCCAAAAACTGGGCCTCTGATTGAGTGTTTAGCTTATAAGTCTATGTCATGTTTCATGTCTCTTAGTAGTGATAGAAGAATGGATAAGACACTATGTACTGATGCTGGACAATGTAGGTTTGAACCTTTGAAATTTTCATTTAGTTTTGTATTTTTTACAGTATGTGTAACATTATTATTTTGTTATTTTACCACATCATTAGTTTATTATTCCTCATGTTTAAAGCTTATAAAACAAGAGATTAAAAATTACAGTCATTTCCTGTTTAGCAAAAACCAAGCCTTTGTAGATTTAACTCTTACATTATTAAATAAAACTTTTATTTCTTCATATTTATTTTAAGAAATAGTGGTATTGTGATATTAGAAGTGTAACAAAAATGAGCACATGAAGAAATTGTCTATAATATTAATTAAAAATACTAAAATGCTAAATTTTCACAATTGAAAATATGTGAAAATAAATGTGAAGAAATAAACTCTTTTATGTTGTTATTAGGGTGGATCAAATGAAAACGGAACAGTGGTCATAATTCGGTGTATGTGTATGTGAGTGTAACAAAACTGTGTGTAGATGTAGAGCGGGAGGTGAAAGAGGAGAAACCCTATTGAGGAATGGACTCACCGTTGGTAAGTGCATGCAATCATGTGATATGAGCTGGCGGTTGGCAGGAGTGTCGTCTGGCAAGCAATCAGTCTGCGTCATGTTTGCGACTAAAGAAGAGCAACGTGATCTTATTTGTTTTTAGCGGCAGAGGGTGTTGGAGTTTGTAAAGTGCATTGGCAAATGAAAACAGCGTACAGAGAACACTCACTGTCACTGACTCATGTGCAGGACTGGCACAAGTGTTTTCATGAGGGATGGGATTCTTTGAAAGATGATCCATGACCTGGTCAACATCACCTCGTCATCATGGATGCTTTGGTGAATGAAGTTGACCAGATCATAAGTACAAACAGACAACGCACAACAAAGGACATCAGCAAGGAGGTGGGTGTGAGTTTTGGTTCTGTTCATGCCATCATTACGAGAAACTGATTACAGGAAACTGAGTGCAGAGTGGGTGCCACACAATCTCACAATCAGAGGTGGCTTTGCATGGGATTGTCCTTGTAACATCTTCTCTGATATTGTGCTGAGGACAATTTCTTGGACAGAGTTGTGGCAGGTGTTAAATCTTGGTGCCATCACTACCAACCAGAAAGCAAATGACAAAGCCAACAGTGGAAACATCCCAGCTTCCCACTGCCAAAGAAGTCCAGAATGATGCAGAGTAAGGCTATGTCCTACGTGGCAGTGTCCAGCGACCACGGGTGTAAACGCGCTTCCAAGTGGAGCAGACAAACCTGTTCAAGCAAATGTTCACGTCCAGAGTAACTGCCTTTAGCATGTAGCGACCACCAGATGACGCTTCTACATGCGCACGCAGGAAGCAACTACCAAGCCAGTTTAATCGCCGCTTCCACTGCTTATGCTTCCAATGAAGAAAATGGCTAATTTTAAAGATGAATGTAAACTGAATGACAAATAAATTGTGTATACATGTTGTATGCACTTTAATAAATAATCTTTTACATGATTTAATAATTTTTGATCTCATAAATGTAACGTTTTAAAAATAAAACTTTTATTAACTTTATTATTCTATGAAGATTCTTTACATTTGTTGTGTATCTAGTTAGTTATAACAATTACCTATCAAATTTACCATTTTAATGCTATTGTTATATTTTCCATAGCAAACATTCAACAAAGTCGTTTCGCCACCATTTTGTAAACAACATGCGTCCACTCTGGACAGAAGTCGCTTGCGAGTTGGATGTGCGTACAAAGATTTTTTCCACTTGTGGTCGCTGGACGCTGCCACGTAGGACGTAGCCTAATGACAAAATCATACTGACATTTTTTTCAACATGAAAGGCCCACTTTTCATTGAGTTCCTGACCCAAGGTCAAATGATCAACGCTGATCAGTACTGCAATACCCTGGAACATTTGTATACAACAATCAAAGCCAAGCGGCCAGGAATGTTGTCCTCTGGAGAGCTTTTGCTCCAAAACAATGCTCAGTGTGCGAGTGGCCACATACGGCCACTTGCACACTGAGCATGCTTGTGAAGTTTTGGTGGAGTGTGTTGGAACACCCACCGACCTTTCACCATGTGACTTTCACATCTTTGGTCTGCTAAAAAAAAGCATTGTGGGGTTGACATTTTCAATCAGACAGCGAAGTCATGGACATTGTTCGAAACTGGTTTCAATCTCAGCCAAACTCTTTCTATGAACGAGGTATTCACTGCTTGGTGCAACAGTGGGATAAGTGCTTGTGTAATTTTGGTGATTACATTTGAAAATAAATAATGGCTACTGTTCCATTTTCATTTGATCCACCCTAATAGATAAAACTTTAAATCAATATAGACTTGCTTTCTCTAAATAGAAAATGACGTCACAATTTTTTAATCTCTTGTTATATAAGCTTTAAACATGAGTAATAATGATACTAATAATAATGCTAATGATGCAGTAAAATAATAAAGTTACACATTTAAAAAAGAAACCAAAACTAAACTAAAATTCTATCTGGCTCTCTACTTGTTAGGAATAAGAATCATTTTTGAATAATGCTGGGCAGCATTTCACAAAACTGCCTTCAATTCTCAATGTCACTTTCTACTTTTCTGCGTGGCATCATGGAATTGCTAGGTATGTGTGTGCAGGAGCTAGACATTCTGCTGTTTTTCATGAAGTGTGCTTTGTAATTCAATTTCATACTGAATGTTGAAATAAGTAGACTGGGGTTTTTATCACCACTTTATTAAGAATATTACCAAGTGGCAATTTTGTTGCTATACAGAATGACCCTTGCTAATGTACTACCAGAATGTTTCACTTTAACATTACAGTTTGTACACTATTCCAATTTACCATCCTTAAAAGTTTTAAAACAACACCACACATCATTCATGCTTAAATTTGAAAATTAAAATTAAAGCTAAAACCGTCAGGAATTAATCTTAAAACAGTAAAATTTTCAAATGCTATTTGTTAAATACTTAGACTCCAGTTTTTACAAACATCCACGAGACATTAACCTCTTTTTGGTGGGAATAAAACATGATTCAGACATATTCATAAATATTAGCTAGTAATATTTACTGCAGTACTTTATCAATATTAATAATAAACTATTATAATTTTATTAAAATTAATTAATTTTAATAAAATACAATAGTAAAACATAAATCTTTGGTATAAATTCTGTTTCAGCATGTCCAGTACTTGATAAATTATCTGAATTCACTAAAAAATAAAATATTTTATTATTATATAATATTCAAAACTGAAATAAAATAAGCATTTTTTCCTTTTATGTATCTACTTTTTCTTGATTTCTTCACACTATTAATAGCAGATTCAGACCCAGCTGAAATAGATGAAGTTAAACTAACTGTATCATCATTTTTCCATTGGTGATCTTGTGGATCATCAGTGTTTCTCCTTTTTAATCTTACACGTGTTTTTACTATAGTAGCGATACTGCTCCCACCTTCACCTGTCAAAATAAATAAAATTTGAAATAAAAATTGAATAAATTTAAAAATAGTATTATTCTCTTAGTAAGTGATAATAAAAATAACTTGTNGCTTCGCGTTGAATTTTCGTCGATGTTAAGCCTAACAAAGACTATTGTATCGTTAAAAATTATTTTTTTATTTTGTACAAACAAAATAAATATATTGAAAAATATAAAAACAATAAAAAATTATACTTCAGAAGTTAATTTACTATCAAAAACCCAAGACTTAGGCAAAGATTTGAGTAGCCGAAGACTTAGGCAAAAATTGCAGTGCGAAAATTTAAATTTGCCGACTGGAATTCTTTCGGATGATTGACTTTCGGATAATCGACGCTCTACTGTATTTAAAAACTGATTTTTACCAAAACAAATTCTGTTGAAATCCAATTAGCCAATTTCAGTAATTTTTGGTTTTTGCCAACACTAGTGCATATTTTTATGTTATATAGTATATACATTTATAATACTTACAACAATATCAATCTTTGGTATAAATTCTGTTTCAACATGTCCAGTACTTGATAAATTATCTGAATTCACTAAAAAATAAAATATTTTATTATTATATAATATTCAAAACTGAAATAAAATAAGCATTTTTTCCTTTTATGTATCTACTTTTTCTTGATTTCTTCACACTATTAATAGCAGATTCAGACCCAGCTGAAATAGATGAAGTTAAACTAACTGTATCATCATTTTTCCATTGGTGATCTTGTGGATCATCAGTGTTTCTCCTTTTTAATCTTACACGTGTTTTTACTATAGTAGCGATACTGCTCCCACCTTCACCTGTCAAAATAAATAAAATTTGAAATAAAAATTGAATAAATTTAAAAATAGTATTATTCTCTTAGTAAGTGATAATAAAAATAACTTGTTTTTAGTTTATATAAAGTCTTTGTTATAGAAACAATATAGTTATAAGAGTGAATCAAATGAAAATTATGAAAATAAAGGTAATAGAAAGAACAATATTATATCCACAAGTTTATTTTATACAAATGTTTATTAAATAATTATAGATATCCAACTAAACATCATTGTAGTTATTGAAATGAACACATTATAGTATTTAAAATTCCAATGAAGTTGTACTCTTTAGTAGAGAAATTACACATGATAGAAAACTCTTCTTCATTTATAAAGATAATCTTCTGACTTACATTTAATGTAGAATTGAAATAATTTAAAGATTTCAGGAGTTACAAGTAGAGAGTAACTGTTGATTTGAGAAGGAATCTATCTAAAGGACCAAATCTGGTAGGCTCTTGAAACTGATGTTTGCAATTCTTGACTCAGGCATACCATCATGTCTCTGGTCATTATTATTCCTTACATCCTTCTAATGTAAGAAAATTCAAAAAAATGAGGGAGAAAACTGTATATATTTCAAAATGTCGGATTGTCATAGGTGCAAACATGTGAAGTGTGCTTTTCACTGTTTTTGATGAAAACACCAATCACTGCCAGTTAAAACCAACTTTGGCAAACAGTGAAACTTAAAGTCTGCTAGGAGTTTATAAACTACAAAATATTACCAAAACTCAAGTAATGCACTGCACTTTCACCTTATTTTGGGATTTAGAAAATATTTACAAATCACACCTAAATTCAAACTTTCCAGCAAATAAAAGTAAAAAAATACAAAGATTGAATGTTTTCGGCCATTAAATTTATTGGCCTTCCTCAGGAAATACAAACTGAAAAAACTGTTCGATAAATAGAACATAGCTGCCTTGTAAATTTTAAAAGAACAAAAATGGCTGTGACGTATCATGTATAACATATATTATGAGTCTAGATAGTGTTTCCACACCGATGATACATGAATGACATCTGTGTTGATGCAGTTTCCACTCTTGCTCGCCTTGTAGATCTCCAATGCTTCAAAAATTTTAATACTTTGCCTGTCGAAAATCTTGTGTATTAGCTTGGCCTGGTCCCAACAGGGGGAAACCCCTGGATCGCTGGCATACCGTGCCAAAGCTGTATTGATGTTACCTTTTAGCACGTCATATTTGTGATCTTTTAGTCTGGGTTGCAGCAATCTGTACGTGGATCCTATGTAAGCTAGTAATCTGTCAAACCTCTTGTCATATAGGGGAATGTGGTAACTCCCAGGAGCCAGAGCATCCTCAGTGTCATCCTTCGTGTTTGAGAGAAGGCAGAAAACAGTGGGTTTTCTTCTATAGGTGAGGAGTATGTTTAAATTATTTGCAATCCTTCTATACATACAGTGTAGTGTCAATTCTTAGTCTAAGATCACCCAATTTGCTTCTGCTTTGTTAACATTGTTAGATGACTGAGTTAGATATTTGGATGCCAGATTGTCGATAAACCTGCGGCCATATGCATGGTTGGATGCTACTTGTTTGAGATGTTCCAGTTCCTTGTTGGTATCCGACAAATGTGTAGAATGGGAGTAAGCTCTGGCCACAAGTGTGCAGAATGTAGATGTCTTATATGACCATGGGCCCTCTGAATTGGAAGGTATGAATAGGGGGATGGAAAAAGCCTTGCAGTAAATTGTTGTGACGAATTTGCTATCAGCTCCTTGAATCCTGATGTCTAAGAAATTAATGCTATTACTGCTCTCCTGATTCAACTTTAGCATTAATCTGTAGCTGTTATTATTAAACACTTTTAACACCTCCCCAATATTAGGACGTTTTTTTCCATACAATTAAAATGTCATCGACGTATCAGGTGTACAGAAGGATGTTATGATTGATGTTTTTGTATGACCGCTCCTCCAATTGTCGTAGGATCAATTCACAAACGCAAAGGACAACATTGAGGATGCTCTGGCTCCTGGGATTTACCATATCCCCCTATATGACAAGAGGTTTGACAGATTACTAGCTTACATAGGATCCACGTACAGATCGCTGCAAAGCCAGACTAAAAGATCACAAATATGACGTGCTAAAAGGTAACATCAATACAGCTTTGGCACGGTATACCAGCGATCCAGGGGTTCCCCCTGTTGGAACCAGGTCAAGCTAATACACAAGATCTTCGACAGGCAAAGTATTAAAATTTTTGAAGCAGTGGAGATCTACAAGGGAAGCAAGAGTGGAAACTGCATCAACATGGATGTCATTCATGTATCATCAGTGTGGAAACACTATCTAGACTCATAATACATGTTATACATGATACGTCACAGCCGTTTTTGTTCTTTTAAAATTTACACGGCAGCTACGTTCTATTTATCGAACAGTTTTTTCAGTTTGTATTTCCTGAGGAAGACCAATAAATTTAGTGTCCAAAAACATTCAATCTTTATATTTTTTTACTTTTATTTGCTGGAAAGTTTGAATTTAGGTGTGATTTGTGAATATATAGTTCCAGTTTATGGTGAGGTTGTATTTATTTAAAAAATATTCTTTTCATATGAAATGCTTTTTGATTAATCCAAACAATGTAAAATAAAGCATTGTGTTTACTAAGAGTTTTTCTTTATTAATTACCTACTGCTAAATGGCGAGAGTGCAGAATTCAAAATGAGCAGAACTAGCCTGTATCACTGCTGCCTGGTCATGGGGCCTATTAACAGAACCTTCATTCATCCAAATTATCATTATGCCTATTTGAATTCTGAAACAAAGCAATTTTGCATTCTATCTGAATAGATGTCCCTCTCCTAAGAGAAGATAGCAAATGGATGTTTTGCTGTTTCTATAGGAGAGGTGTATCTACTCAGGTGCTATAAAAGGGAACCTTTGATAACAGTCTGATTTCTGATGAGGTAGACACAAAGGTGCTGTTAACTCAACTCAATTGGATACTGTGTTCCATCAGATTTTTGTATAAATAGAAAGCATCAGATCAGTCAGACTGCAAATCACAATATTTTTTCTTTTTTTCAGTCATATAAAATTGTGTCTTAGGCTATAATTTTATTCATATTGTTCTGGCTTATTGTTTTAGTAGCTTTACTATTCAAAATTGTTAATACATTTTCATGTTATAAAAAACGTTAATTAAAATTCCATGTTAAATTAAAAATTATACTATTTTCATGGATTGACCAGCATACTGCATATAACTGGGGGAGACCAGCATGTCGGAAACCCCAAAGTTACTGGCTGCCAGTTAAACTGACTAAAAACTAAAATTAATCAGATCTAACAAAACTAGTTATTAATTAAAAATACTAACCAGCAAATTCTTATAAAATGTGCAAATCTTTTCATTCATGTTGAGTGGGCATCATCAGACAAACTAATCCCCAAATGCTAAAACAAACAGGGGATTGTCAAACACATGTGCTTACAGCCTTTGGCTCTGCCTTAAACAAGACAACTATCATACTGTTCATTTCCTGAACCTCCAGCTTTCCTCATTCAAAGGACACATATCTACTCAGGTTTACAGAAAACCTATACACCTCCCAACCTTCATCCTTGCCTCTTCCCACAATCCATTCACCTTAAAAATCGCCTGGTTCAGGGCCTTGGTTCAAAGTGACCTTCACCCATTCATCAGACACATGTGATAGGGATAAAGAACTCCTTACGATCACCTGTTACGCAACTCAGCATGGCTACTCCCCACATGCTATTAAAGGCATACATTATCTTTCCTCCACCACTTCTGCCTCACAGATAAATTGCACTCAAGATACGGGTTATAGGACTGTCACTTAAGACAGGAAACTAGCCACTCTTTACAAGAATATATCCAAAAGAAATAACTTTTGTTTAGCATTCCATAAAAGTTCGTCAATTTCCTCCCTCCTCTGCAATGCTAAAGCCTGTCCAGACATTAACCTCCAACCAGGCATCTACACCATCCCTGTCATCAAACATAGATTCAACTCCCACTTAGAATAGGTGCTACATCACTCCCTTTAAACAACTGCCTCAAGGAACATCAGACGTCCATCATGAAATGATTGGCCAACATGGTGTTGGCTATCTACACCTCTGACAACAATATCAATGTGGAATTCTGCAAAGCATGCCTCTTACATAGCTTTTCCAGGTAACCCTTTCTCAAACATCTTGAGCAGGTGGTAATGTATAAGGCCACTTGCAATAACACCACTATCAATTTTCACTATGTTGACAAGGAGTCAACATCATGAAAATTGATAGTGATGTTATTGCAAGTGGCCTTATACATTACTATAAATCTTACTATCCTCCCCTCCTCTCGTCTTACATCACCTCCCTCTGCACTCATTTGGCAATCCTGTTTGTTTCAGCATTTGAGGATTAGTTTGCTTGATGATGCCTGTTCAACATGGACAAAAATGCTTGCATTTTTTATAAAAATTTGCTGGTTTATAGGTTTAGTGTTTTTAATTCTAATTTAATCAATTTTAAATGGCAGTTTTTTTCTAGTTGTTAAATAAATGTTAACACCTTCCTCTCAAATTTCACACAACGCAGATGTTAATTGGTGTAAGTTGAGATAATTTACAGGGAGTTTCTGAAATTTGATATATTTTATTTTTGCATTTTTAGCAATCCACAAATTTTTACGTGTTTAGAAAAAAGACAAAGTGAACAAATTAAATGTATAATCATAGTTATTGATGTAATGCTGACAGTTTTACAGTTTTAGAATAAAAACTCACTCTTTTTTTATGCATCCTCTAGAGCAGTGTTTCTCAATGAAGGCGATATTGCCCCCATGTGGGCGTTTTTCCATGTTGAGGGGGTGATTAGTAACAATTTATATTTTGGGGGGCAAAAAACAATTTTCTGGGCGATATAGTAAAGCATTATATTAAGAATAATTAGACATTTTATTCAATACAATAATTAAACAAATACCAT